GCGTTTATTTAATTTATTTAAATTTATTCATTTAGTACGACAATAAGTGATTACTTATTGATAAGTTTATCATTATTGACAGTACAAAAGCCGTTGGCAGTTTAAAAGTATTCATTAGTGCATCGTTCACAGTGGTGAGTGTTTATAGTTTGTATACGGAAGTATGGTTGACTGATCCCTAACATTTTCCATCTTTCTGTTAATCACAAGTTCAGTGAGACGAATCACCGGAAAATTGAAGTTTTTTTTGGAGGTTAAGCCTACTCTTACACTGTTTTAGAAAGCAGAGAAGTCATTATTAAAAAAAAGGAAACCATTACGTTTATAAGGTCAGTGCCCTTATGAACATAAACCAGATTATTATATTCCGTTATTTATGCACATATCAAGACTAAATCTACACACTTTTTGGTCGTTCAATGGTCGTATTTTGGCCGCTTGTCCCATCCATTATAATATTTATTTTGGTATTTTTTGTAAATATCTTCTCAAGAGACTCGGTTTTTTGGCTGTGTGTTGCACATTTGTAGTTATATTTATGTTAACTACCATTTTGTCATTAATAATGGCTCTTAGATTAAAATGTGTGTAAAACCCTTTATTTCAGGGTTGATATTCATATTAGAGGGTTTTAAGATATGCAATTTGTTTGTATACCACACATATACTACATGAGTATATGTGTATCTAGTTATATACCTTTTGTATTGTTAGCGAACTGCCATTCGAACGAAACAAAGGACTTCTCAATGTTCACTATACATTTTTCTTTGCAATACCTAACACAACAATAAAGTTGTAGGAAAAATGGTACAGGCGTTCTTGAGTTTTGCGCATACAAAGATGAGTTGAAAAATATTTTTATTTAAAAACGCTGCTTTTGTATCTTCTACTAATTACGACCTATTTACTTTCAATTTAAATAGAAGTTTGTGTCACCTAATATTTTTATCATTAAAACGACTCTATATTTATATTCAGTAAAGTTTACATTCCTTTTTCTTCAAAGTTTAACATATTAAAATTTAACTTAACAAATTGCGTAATTGGAACCAACTAGCGATAAACAATTTTATTTCAATTTCTGTACACTCATACCTAATTAAATCGAACTAAAAGCCGCTCCAAAGCACAAAAACCTCTTTAAATCCTTGATCTGTCAGATCAGTAAGGAAGTCTAGTTTCGGTGTTATTACTTTTGTATCAATTTTCAATTTCTCATCATCACCATCATCATCAAAGGTTCAGGGTTGCTGAGTTTCTGTTTTTGTCCCATTGTTCCCTTTCCCTCGACTCCTTAGAATACCCGGAGGAAGAGTAGGTAATGGTGGCAAATGTAACTTTACCGTCACCACTATAGCCAATAGACCACCACAGACGGGGCCCCATAGGGCTGATGTTCAGCCGGGGTTGCGGGGTAAGCGCAATGAGGCACTGCGACCTCGGCCCAGAGCAGGAGAAGGAACAGGGGGGTTTTTTGTCAGTAAAAGTCTGACACTCCCTCCCGCCCGGCCCTGGGCGGGAGAAGTCATTTGATGATTTTCCCCTCACAAAAAAAAACCGTCACGGCTATGATGGGTCAGCACAGCTTCTATTGTACTAAGATATTAATTGGAGAAATTCCAAGCGTTCAGTAACAAAATAAAACAGCCGTACAATTTTACCATTGAATACAGAAGCTAAAAGAAACAATTAGACACAGAAGTGACTATCTATAAAAAGACAATGATTAGTGAAAGTGTTTTGGAGGTGAACACCATGGGGCAGCCCCATGACTGCACGGTACGGCAACTGTTTAATCCGAATGAATGGCACTAAATCGAGTTGTACAGCTTTACATAAAATATACTGATTACATAATCGATATTCGTAAACGATTCTGTATCGATTGCCACGGTCAAGTAGCCGTAAGAGAGCATGCTGTGCTTGCGTCTTGGGTTTATCAGGAGAAGAATAATTGTGTAATTTCATTAAAAAATATATTTTATAGTTCGAATTGATTAAATCATTAATCGTTGGACATGATAATCAGGTGCCAGAGTCATAATAGGCTTGAGAAACGAGACGTAGAAAAGCGCCAAATGAAAGAAGAGATGTGTTGTTGTCGTAATATTTAGTTCATAATATTATACATAATTTATCATATTGTTGAATAGCAACTGGCTTTTTGCCCTTGCCGTTATGTGGACAAGACCGGTCTCATTTTATGATGATAACTTATATTCTACCTACTTACATATAGATTTATAAAAGTTTAATAGCATAGAAATAGAAATATCTAGAAAGAAACAGTTTCCAAACACACACAAACAGGAAAAACAGTAATTACTCAACCATACAAGCGTTAAGCACTGATCTATTTAAATTAAATTAAACTCGAGTTATTTTCACTCCAATGTCACAGGGTCAAAAGGTGCTATTGTCGATTTTTTCTTGAACTTTTTACTACAAACGAGAACAATGTAAGCATTCAATTATATTACGTCGAGTAAGGGCAGTTATTCAACAATTGGGTGGATTGGTGGATATTCTAGTTTCCCGATCACATTATAACTATTTTCTTCAATTAGGAAGGTCGGTCGGTTGGAACTAACAGTATTCAATTTTAAATACTTAATTTTTGTGATTAGAAACGGTTAAGGGTAACACCTGCTTGTCTAGAAAGAGCGATTTGAGCTATGAATCGTTGCAGTCACATGCGCGAGAGTGTTAAATGTTTATAAAGGGCAGGCGCATCGTTCGAGGCCGAAAAAAATAAATTAAACAGCAATTGTATCTCAATTATTTGTAAAGAGTTGCAACGGATATCTAGTGTCGCAATATTTTACAGTGTTCAAGAGTTGGCCCGCAACCGACACCACAAGATTCAGTTAATAATTTGCGTGTAGTGCTCCACCGTGTTCTATTCAGTTTATTTATTTTTTTATTATTAAAATGGGTTTTAGTACGCGATATTGTGAGAAGTGGGCTAATAAGAACGCTGCTTTATACAGAGAATATATTCGAAATGAAACCAAATCGTACACAGGTAACGTACTAATGTGAACTTTATTTGTTACTTCTTAAAAGCTATCTCAAACTAATCAACGTCACCTTTGAATGTAGAATTTAAGATACATTCACGTAATTGATTGACCATAGTCCTAAGCAAATCAAAAATTAAAAGAATGTGCTTTATATTTTGCGTAAAATTAAAACAACGCATAAACATAAACCTACTTTCTGAAAATAACATGATTACGTTATTATTGTAATTAAAATAAACTTTACGTAACACAAAATTTAAGGGAATTATTTTGCAGATGCGGTTTAAAAAGTAAACATTTCACGTATTTAAGTGCCTCTTTAGTACTAGTATGTGATGATTAATACTAGAGTTTATTTTTTAATAAAGTTTGAATACAGAAATATTATTTTCTATTTACTTTTAAAATGGCCAAGTTGAATTATTTGTCAGTGTAGCTAGGGGCTCGTTCTCACATATTGATTTATATGGAGAAGAACGAGCAAGAAAATCCATTAATATTCTTTTGAAAAAAATTTTATATGTACACATAACTTTGTTTAAAGCGTCCATCGACCCGTAATTTTTATCACGAATTGCTTAATCACTACACTAAGCGCTAAGAATGAATCAATATAAATAGTATGCCATATCTATTAAACCTCAATGACTCTTTGTTTCAATTTATTTTCAACTAACCTTTGTACACGTTATTTGATGACAATATTAATCTTATGCACATATGTGAACTATGCAATGTTCTTAGCCAATCATCCTGCGTAACCTCGGTTCTGGATAATTCAATAACATTCTCAATGACACTAATGATTTAGATGAGGTAATTACCAGGTTAGTTTATAAGGATGCTACACACAATCCTATTGATGATCAAGGATTTTAAGTAAACTGTATTGAGTATAAATATCAGGACGATTTAGAAGTACATTATCAGTTTTGCGTGACATCCGAGTAATAATTTATTCAAAGATAGGCCATGTAATTTTCCGTAGTTGAAGAATAGTGCATCTACTTCTCACCATAGAGGTTTTCCTTACTTTATTGTATTTCCAGCCTGAATTGCTCTCCGAGTTTCATTTATAAGTTGAGTTCCATAGCTCTCGGTACAAATTAGTGTGTTGAGTTTATATTAGTGCAATCATTTTCATAACGCTGTGTAAGAAATAATATTTTGTAACTACAGTTTATTATATTACAGTTTAAAAAGTTACAATCTCGTTAGAATACAATTATTGTGTTTTATGGTTTGTTTCTTAATGATACCGTTGACGTTGAGCTTTAGTGAGCCCTTTGCGTGAATCTATATCAATGTAAAGTCATTAGTAAAATATCAACGGACAATAGAGATGAAGATAACATAAAATTGTTCTACGATCGTTTAAAAATATATCTCAGTATGTTATCAGGCTAATGGGTTTCTAATATACTAGTAAATTTAATTTCTTTTCAAGTTGACATCCTGCATTTCGGCTGACATCGCAGTAATAAGCCGGTTCTTTCGTGTCTACTTCTTATTTTCTGAGTCAGTGAATTATGCGGAACGTCTAGAGAATGTATAGGAATATCCTACATGGCCCATAATGCGGTCAGCACCTATCAGTGCCCATCGAGACTCAGTTTTGAATGAAAAAAGAGTAGCGACAGACGTCCCGCGATGTAAAGTCCATTTCGTTCGCGTGACTTTCATTAATTTCCTTATAACGAGATTGTTTACTGTTGCAAAATATACCTAATACCTATACTAATAAGATAGTAATTAAAATAAATACTGTGAACTGTGAAATGATTGATTTGCAAAATTTATTAAAAATACAATAATAGTGCATATCAACAGTAGTTTTCCTGAATGTTAATATTAATAAGATAAATTTCTATAAGTAGGTACAATATTCAATACTTTCGAATTTGTTTGGTTTATTCTCCCGTGACAATTTAAGACATTAGATAATTTATTGTGAAAACTGTGTGTCGTGAATGTGGATTCAAAAAATGTGTTTCGTTAATTCAAAATTAATATCGTTGGTGCTATTATGTATTTATGTGAAATCAGTTACCATGGTTTCGTTTTTCGAACGAGAGGAATATTGTGGAGTGATACTGAGTCAATATGGTAATTACTTCGTTAATTAGTTGTTATTTACCATTCTTTTTTGTACTTTCTACTGAATCTGTGGTTACCGTAAATGTTAGGAGAAAGTGCGATTCAGATTGTATAGAGTACAAGTGCCGCTAATTTCTTGGATTAAGTAACTTTGTTATTGTGCGTCAGTATATTTTTAACCACAATATAAGTAATAGAAATATGCTGTTATGTAAGAATTGGATGAAAGAATCTAGTTTACTTATATGAGTACACAATTTTTTTGTCATGCCTAACTCTAGTACCTAATTGTGCACGCTTCATTTAAATTCAACTATAGGTGTAATACTATTGTATTCTATAGCAAAACAAATAACTTGTCATCATACCTTTTATAATGAAGTTCACGCTTTTTATGCAGTGAATCGATGTGTTACACAAGTTGGTATACATCGATAAGTTCAATTGTAGGGTTCGGTTAGTGGTATCGTTCGGCAACATGGATTTATTATGACAAAGACTGAGTTTGCTATAAAATCTATGTTTGTTATATTGTTTTTATGAAATTTCGCCAAAATATTTTAAAAGTACAAGTTGAAGAAAAATGCAATTTAGCATTATTAGCCTGTTTTTGGTCGTACTACATCCAAAGTGCAGTTTTATAGAACTTTACAAATACGAAAGTATATACTACCTAATCATTTATGCCCATACTTATTCGCGCCAATATTTATCTTTTTTAAAAGGTCATCCGAAGCACCGAAACTCAACAACCATCAAAAAGTCTCGAAAACTATTTATAAAATCAAAACGATTGTTGTTTATAAATCTCGTGAAACCGGTAACTAAAGAATCATATTTTTCTATGGATACATACTTTAACCATATAATGTTTGTCCTTCAGATCCTCATTTATTGGACACTTTCAAATTGGAAATGTCGCAAGGAATCGAGAGGTTTTTCCTGCTGTCCTACTGCCTGGCTTGTTGCTGGCCCGGGCTGGGTGCCAAGAATGACCTGCGAGTGGTTAGACAATGGGCTGAACTGGACTTCGTGTTTCCTAGCGAAGAAGCCAAACAAATAGCTATTCAAAAGCGCTACTATGTACCTGGAAATTCCGTGCCCATAGACGTCGATGTGCATCATAGACAAGGTATGTTTTATGAATAGTGAGTAGGTTAGTTAAGATGAATGTGTCTATGCTTTTAGTCACTCTGACCCATATTCGGGAGTATATCGCCAAATTGCGATTAGCCTAAAGGCGGTTAGTAATATCTTTTACAATTATGACCGAACTGCGATTTTCAAGCAACCTGCCCAACTTGGGAGTAATGGCATTCAAAATTCTCTTAAGGAGATCTTTATTAAATGGTGGGCGCATTCCGTTTTATTATGACGATGAACCGTTAAGGCTATAAAAATGAAAAAGAGCTATTGACATTTATCGTTTGGTCGTGTAGGTACCTTATCGAGTGCTGATGTTTTTTTTTCTATTTTGATATAGTATAAATTCTAGTCAACTTTGTTGCAGAATGCAAATTTCTAACAAACGTAATACTACTGTCAAGGTGGTCACGTTCTTATCTTTATGGATATGCATATGTAATTACTGTTAGGACAATGTATGTTTTATGTGCGACGACTTGTCATTCTTTTTGTCAATATACATACATATGTACAGAAAATAAATACAATGTACTCAATATGGTCCTGCGATTGTTCCAACCCCAAGGAGTAATTTGCTTAAAGGGTATTGTTATGTTCGTGAAATCTGTGTCTAATAACATTCACCTGTGATTGAACTTACCTATATCTCATTCCAAGCATAAAGACAACTAATTTATCTCCCTCAGTGCAGCTTTACCCGCATGGAGTTTAATATATTCATCTTTCCAAATTACATGCCATAAATGCTTTTCTCTAGGAAATTAAGTTTTCCAATTTCAATCTGGAATGATTTTCAGCTTTAGTTTTAAAGTCTTTTTAACAATAGTATGTGTGTAGGTAATTGTGAAATAAAGCCAGTGTGCAGTGTGATGTTAATTGGTAGAGTGACTCCCACATCATGCAGTGGGTGACCAGTGAGGCAACAGTTCAAAGTAAAACGAGAAACTTACGAAATCTCTCCTTTTTTAATTATACTTGTTTGGCAGAGGTTTCCACAAATAGGTACTTTTGATTGACCACGTTGGATTTAGCTTTTTTCTTCTCCTAAAATAATATCTTCGGATTTATTTCGTTGCGGGATCCAAGAGAGTAATTCATGTCCCTGGGACGCGCCGGACTTCAGTGTTCCGATGTTTTCATTGTTGCATCTACTGTAGATCCTGGCTTACAGGATTTGGAAGGTTGCGTGGGGCTTGTCCTAATTAAAAAAAAATACTTTGTTAGATATTATTGAGGCGCGATTGGCGCGGTGGCTGGGTAACCTGCCGCGGACGGGTATCGATTCCCGCAAGGAACAACAAAAAATTTCCGGGTCTGGTATGTGAAATTGTAGATATGTATTGTGTGTAAACTCACTCCCTGTCCCTAACCATGTATGTATATATAGTTTCTGTGAGTATAAGTCAAACTAACTAAACCCCTGAGTACACCAGTATACCCACATGAGTAGAATTCTCGCAAATCGCAAGAGATATTTGTCGTTCGATTCTACAGTTGAAAAAAGTATATGTATACTTATTTCCGTTCCCTATAGGTACTGAATTGGCAAAATCCAATAGCACGTCACTGTATTTGGTCTTCAGAACACTGTAGACAATCTCTTGAATATATTACCTATGAAAAGATAAACTTACAACGAAAATACTTCTTCCATAATAATATGAAGAATAAAATGCGTAATATTACGTAAACATGCTAGGTAGGTACTTACAGTGATGATTATGAGAATGTTTAACACTATTTTGTTTTGGATACAAGAATGACTGTTCGTTTTTAAACGTCTGTAATAAGTGCTCGTAAACCCGTAACATTTTTTTACAGTAGTTCATTGGCTGATAAATAGGTACAGGGGTTTTTCGTTTTTTACCAACACATAACAAAAAGTATTCGAATGTTTATGTTTATGTGGTTTTACACTGAATCGTAAATCTTGACATGTTATAAAGGTTCTCACGGCTTTGGATTAGGTGCTAAATATAAAATTATTTTTACATTATACGTTGATTTATGAAGTCCCGAATTGAACTCTACAAACTGCAGTTTTGCAGTACCTAGATTTTTGCAAATAATACCACTTAATTGTATCGACTATTTGTCTCGGGTCGCGGCAATTGGCCTTATCTATCTCCAGTTCTCTACTAACAGGCTTTTTGTTAACAGGGATGTTTAAAAAGAAAATATGATATATGTACGTAACATTTACTTTTTGAAAAAGCAATTAAATTTTTAACACATCTTGCGTCATTAGTAGGTATAATTTTATTAAAAAACGAATTGCATTGTTACAAAACATAAACATACACCGAGATGCATTACCTTTACAACGTTTCCTACAGTATATTGTTAACAGCGATAATATCAAAAGATCACCTGGAAACAAGTTTGCTATTGTTAATTAAACAAAAGACAGTCGTGGGTTAGGTCAGTGACGTATGTATGTAGATATAAAAGCATCTTCTGTGTGATCTTTGTGAATGACACGACATAGTATCACGAATTCTATTCTGTAGATGTTTTAAGGGGAAAATGATTCTTTCTCATCGTCGTCGTCATCTTCTGCCACTTGAGAGGAGCGACAGGGTATTTGAGGCTCTTACTAAAACTTAAGTAACTTAGTACGAGTTCCCGTCTAAAGAGTTACGCATAAAACCAAGCCTATTGTAATATAACGTTAGTAAGCAGAATTTAAGATATCCAAGACCCTTCAACATGCAGACCTCGTTGAGAAGGATATTTTTCTTCGTTCAACAAATGAAGAGCAAGTTTTCGCCGAAACATAACCATAAATAATATGATATGTTTTAAGCGCTAATATTTATTTATTTTGATACTAAACATTTGCCATATTTAAGATACTGACCGCACCTTGTTAGCCTTGAGGCGACTGACTTTTGAGGATGAGTTCTTCATTTGTTTTATATGATTATACCGGATTATTTTTTAAATGCGTTTAGTTTTTATTATGATTGTGTAGCGGATAAGGTGAAGCACATTTTAAAAGAAACAAACTGAATACTTATAAAGTCAGTTAAAAATAATATAAATAGGATTTGAAATATCAATTAAATACTTTTACTGTGTTTAGTTGGTAATAAATTCACAACTGGCAATTGGTACCTACAAAATTCCAGCACATACAGTTACACATCGATTTACTTTATGCCAAATTATATTGTTTCTGTACGCACCCACGTCAAAGGAGAACATCTTAATGTGGTGCGTAATTTTTAAAAGAGAAAAAAGGTAAAGACAACTTTGAAGTTGTTTTCGATTTCTGTTTAGATGCTAGCAGAGCGAAATCTAATCAAACATCTCCAATTTTGTCCATAGAATCTCGTCCTTGACATTATAACAAAATAGTAATAACAGCTATATAATACAAATTGACTGAAGAATTGACACCAGAAATTAACTAAACATTAATAAATAAATAAATTTAATAAAAACAATTTCTCATTTGCAGGACCGTACCCGTCCCGTATCTTCGTGACAAATCCTCGGTTCGACGAAGGTCGACCGATCACGTTGGGTACCGTGGACGATACGGGCAGGATTGTCGCCTACCCAGACTACTCCTGGCATGACAACCAGGGCTCCAACTGCGGAGGCATGACTTCCGTCTTCAGAGTTGCTGTACGTAAGATTTTACGAGACCTATGTAAATAATATGCTTATTGTTTAATTAATCAAACACTAAGCGCACGCCGGCGTTCGCGCAACTGTTGTTCTTCTATTGTGTCTCAAATTACCACGATTGAAAGGTTAATAACGAAGTTTGGATTAAGTGAAGTGTTATTGTAAAAATACAATAACACGTAGCTGTAGTTCAGAGTCTAGGCTATTTGATATGTACGTATAATTACCACAGATTCACAATAAAATCGGTTGCATTCTTAAACTTGCTCATCCAGAAAAACGATCTGGGGATCACACAAACAGTATCTCTGAGCGGAAAACCAAACTTCGACAAAAAAATTGGGTGCATTGGCGCACATATTCTGAATAACAAATGCGAAAGTTACGATGTTTGGATGTTTGTTACTGAATCACGCCAAAACGGCTGGACTGATCTTGATGAAATTTGGCACAGGCATAGGATACACTCCGGAATAGGACATAGGCTAATTTTTTTACAACATACCACGCTGGCAAAACCGCGCGTGGAATCTAGTACTGGTATAAAAATGCGATATGACTTATGTAACGAGATTTTTTGCTGATGAGATGAAGACCAGCTTAGGCCTTGACTACATCCATGATTGCATGTCAAGGAATAATCACAGGTTGAGTTTAAATCGTTTGTCATCCCATAAATGTCTGTTTATAGTATCAACTTACCTTGGCTCAACATATAAATCTTGCTGTGAAAAACAAGTAACTTGACAGGATCTTTTTTCTTCTGCATTTCGTAAAAAGACGGTCCTAGCTGTTAATATTAATTGGCCATCATGATACCATGGGTATCTATTACATCTTCTTTTCGCTAGCTGGTAGCCTTTGCCATGTTTCTATAAAGAAATAAAAATAATATATTTTTAACCTACCTATGTATTCATAGCACAGCTGAAAGTCGGGAAGGGCTCTGCAATGAGCCAATGTACAAAACAAGAAAACGTTACCACGCCAATATAAACCTTAATTAGGTACGTCTGGTTAACTGTTCTGTAGTTTTTGTAATTAACACAAACTGAAGAGCAAGGGAAAACCTTGTATGTTCATACTAGTTCAATATAATCAACAATGGCCTTTGTTAACTTAACGACTCTGTTTATGGGTATTATTGCATAGGTACAGTCAGCGGAGTTATTTAGTAAGCAGGTTAGAAAATATAGATACTTGGATGGCACAGTAACGCGACTGGCTTATGTATGGTGTGCCAAACGAACCACGACGTAGAAGAAAATCAAAGAAGAATAAAATTACTGTGTAAAATACAATACTATTGCCGTGAGTATCGTAAAACGAGACTCAAGGATAGAAACTGGGTAGCAGCGATTTCTGATAAAACTGAACCTTTGTAACTTTAATTTCCAATCCGCCTGGCAAATCTTGACAATTGGGTAGTTTCCTAGGTCAAAAATAAATTAATTCGACTTTTCAATACCTACCATAAAACATTGAAAAATAACTATACTTTTATTCATCGATCGATCTATAGACTAAGTTTTAGATATTTTGTAGCTTATTATTAAGAAAAAAGTAAACTATTTGACGCAAAAATACTATGACGTCAAACCTCAGTTTTACATACAAATTTCATAGTAAAATATAGCTTTTGACATTTGGATAAAAGTATTGAATTTGACTAGTTTGAAACTACCGTATTCTACTCTTACGTTGCCCGGGTTGTTGATGATATCAAATGAACGTGGCTGACTGTACTTAGGTACGTACAGATGTCCTCTGAAGAACATCTGAGAACAACTTAGTATTTCCGCATCTGACGTAAACATGGTTGAAGTTAGGTAACACAGGATAGGATGTGCCTAGGTCTAGACTATGAACACGCGATGAATAGAAGAAATATAATTGTGGTTTATTGTAACAGGATTTATTTATGCTTTCAACATTATAATTGAGCATTATGATTGTAGTTGTACTTTTTCTTCTTCTTAGTATCTAGCGATCTGACGATAATTTTCCTTTAAGAATTATAATTGCTTTTGATTATGTTACGTACGCAAGAAAGAGCATCACAGTCTTATTGATCAGCCGGGGTTGCGGGGTAAGCGCAATGAGGCACCGCGACCTCGGCCCAGAGCAGGAGAAGGAACAGGGGGGTTTTTAGTCAGTAAGAGTCTGACACTCCCTCCCGCCCGGCCCTGGGCGGGAGAAGTCATTTGATGATTTTCCCCTCACAAAAAAAAAGTTTTATTGACCAAAACCCACCGAGTTCCAACTCAATAAGCCAGATGGCGATAGTAACTGCGCTAAACAATTACACGAGTACAGCATGTATAAACAATACATACATACGCTCAAATAGTTTAAACGGTCTGTATGTTTTTCCTTAGAATCATTAGTTCTTAAGTATTTTCCAGTCAAACCACATTTTAGAAAAAAATAGAGGATGTGACGAGCACGTTTCCTTTGCCTTTAACAAAGTCATTAAGAATAAAAAAAATCTAACAAAATAGTGACATCACCAGTGGTTCTGCAGGTCAATAGACCCGGATTTAACGGATATTTAAATTTGTTTGTGGTCAAATATCTCTAACATATGAGAATCACGCAAGATTTTAATTATTCATGTACTCCACCTAACTGTATTTGAAAAAAAAATCTATGGTTGTGATGAACAATTAAGTGTTTTTGACGAAAATACGTAGAACTGAGACGATAAGAAACGGTAATCATTTTCGCATCTTAGTTTTGCATCTATACTCGGAATTTTAATTCCATTCCAGATTTGACAATTTCGGTGTTGCAACGTTATGACACGTAATAAATAGTGACGTTGCGAAATTATTCGATATGGAAATCGAATATTTCTGAATCGATTCCTCTCGTTTATAAGTTTACTCTCGTAAACTAAGTTTATCAGGAAATAAAATATTTTTGAACCGATAATTTAGTTTTGACAATTAATTAACGATCTGAGACATTTCTTTTGTAATTGTGTGTGAAATTAATAAAAAATGTGATCATGAAGGAACGTGACAAATAAAACAGACATTTTATAAATTGTCACCGTCATCGCGATCGCTATCGCTGTAAATACTAAATGTATTTATTATGAATTGTGTCTGTGATATTTATTGTCAATTTACATATCTAGCTTATTCGTTTTTTCCTCTTCTTTGAAAACATGGGATACACATTTAGACCATTCGGTAGCCGTAATTTTTTGAATGCCTTCCTGAAACTGATTCACTGATTGTTTATCGATTTTTGTGTTCATCACTACACTGTTATATGTGGTATCATTATTTCACAAAATGACAGTGGTCAATGTCAAATCAGGAATCGAATTAAAAGTCGGACTATACCTACTCGTACTAAAATCCAAATGTAAAACTAGTTAAATTCTTTTTTTTGTGAAGGAATAAACATCAACGGCCTTATTACAAAACAAGGTTTTACTTTAGTCTAGGACTAAACCATTAAGCCAGTTTTTGTATTTCGAATTGAAGATAGATGACAATAAGATTCAAAATTCAATACCCGACTCAATGGTTTAAATCTGGACTAAAGATAAATCTTGTTTTGTAATAAGGGGGTAAATGATTACTCTTACTTAGGGTGGAAGCGAAAGGGAGAATCAGACTTACTGACTAAATACCCGCCGTTCCTTCAGGCCGCGGCCGTGGCGGCGATAGATACCTTATTACGCTTGTCCCGCAACCTAGTATAGTAGTGGGAATCTAAAAATCAATATCTTAGCCAAATAAAAAAATATTGCCAGTATTAAGTCTTATACCCACAATAACTTCAGTGCAAAGCAATACATTTTACACTAAACAAGCTTTTTCCAATTATAGATAGACGAATGCCAGCGACTCTGGGTGATGGACGCCGGCAAGATAGGAGACAAGCAAGTGTGCCCCCCTCAGCTGCTCGCCTTCGACCTGGCCACCGACCGACTTATCTACCGTCACGTCGTCAACTCCTCAAACTATCTCGAACAGTCCCTGTACGTCACACCGGTCAGTAATTTATGGTTTTTTAAATAAACTTTCTAATATATCGTTTTTATAGGACATAATTTTAATATTTTACCGTGCTGCTTAGCACACTCATGGATACGACTCCCGGCGGGACTTGAAACTAGTAGAGCGCACCCGTGAGAAAGCCGTGTAATTCAAAAAATTTCAACAATCTTATGACTTCACAAGAATTAAAGCAATTTTTACACAGTTTACCTCAATAAATATACAAATTGTGTTTCATTCCAAAATGAACCGAAATATAAATAAAAAAGAGTCTTATTTAAGGTACCATTGATTACAGATTGTAGACGTGCGTCCCCGCGGGCCTGGCGATTGCGCAAATACGTACGTTTACGTAGCTGATGTGTCTGCCTACAGTATTCTGGTGGTCGACGTGATGAGAGACCAGTCCTGGCGCACCACACACAGACTGTTCTATCCATTCCCCTCTCGCGGAACATTCACCATTGACGGTAAGCTATAATAATTATTGTTTTTTTTTCTTGAGTGGGAAAACTATTCAATGCTTTCACCCGCATTGGACGGGGCAAGCTACTGCGTAATTTGCAAAATATTTTTTTTGCTTTTAAAGACCAATTAAGACTGCCCATCTAAATACAAGTGACTTCGAGTAATACCTAGTAGTAGATACATTACATGTACTACATCTTAAAAGAATGATTATAGGTACCAAGTAAAACTGTCTTAGGTTATAATGTATAAAGTTACTTCTCAACCAAACATAGAATTTATGGACTTATGTGTATAGTAAAAATATATTAAACAGCTAATATTACAAAACCATTTGTTTCAGGCGAAAGTTTCGATCTAATGGATGGTATATTGGGTATGGCTCTATCACCATACCACCACGGCAGAGATCGCTTCCTCTATTTCCATTCTCTCGCTGCCACCACGGAGAACGTAGTAAACACGAGGATACTCAGAAACAATTCTTACTTGCAAGACCCTAACATTGACCCGGACGCAATTTATGTAAGTAAATACACCTATACATTTTTTTGGTATACCTACCAAGATGCCTAACAAAGCACTGAGAAGAAGGAAAACGTCGCAATGATTCTATTTAAAAGGTTATCTATTCATTTCAGGTGTTCCCCAAAGAGCGCCCATCTCAATCAGCAGCTGAAGCGATAGACCAAAACGGTGTCATGTACTTCGGTCTCATGGACCCACCCAGTATTCAGTGTTGGAATACTGCCACCGAGTTCTCCCCTCGCAATTTCCACACGGTAGCTGCCAATCAGGAAACCTTGCAGTTCGCTAGTGGTGTTAAAATTGTAAAGAATGCTAAAGAAGAACAGGAGCTTTGGGTATTAACATCAAGTTTTCAAAGGGTAATGACAGGATCGCTTTCACCGGATAGAATGAATTTCAGGATACACGCTGAAAAGATCCCGGTAATCTTAGCGAACTCTCCGTGCAAAAACTCCCCAAATGGCCAAAAGCCGGGGTACCATGTCAATCTTGTCGACAGATCTTCGGACGGTCACAAGTATCGGCCGACCAGATATGGCAGTGCCTCGTATCTGTAGAGATTAGTGCCATGTCCGACCGGTTGCTCAGGAAGTTTGTGAGAAATAATAGGCCATAAGTCATCTAAGTTACTTCATTGTCATCATTAGTTGATCACAGACCTTTTTTTAAATACTGCAACTACAGTTGCTGTTGTAGCAAGGTGAAATTGTAAAGTGTCATTTAAATGTGATTTATTTAACAACAAACCCGCAGTCCGAGTCGACTGAAACCTAGCATAGAACATTTTCTTAACACGCTTGTTGTGTTTTTATCTTATGTAAATCCATTTAAATAGTATAACATGCTCGAACGCCAAAGTCATTCCTTAAATTATATAATGTCCCGTCAACATTTTATGTTATGTAATGTTACCTGTGTTATGTATGCAATTAAATTTTAAATAATAATAATACGATTTAAACATTATTCTGGTTTTACTTTTAATAGTTTCTACACTCTAATGTTTATTGTAACGGTTAGTTGATGACTATGAATCTTTACAATGATACTGAATTAGATTTAATCCAAGTGTTTTCGTGAAATATTTTAAAAGCCAATCTATGCTTTTCCATAATAAATATCATTTAATCACTACAAACTAACTAAGACTTAGACAAAAGAAAATAAATAAATAAATGTCGAAAGGTAATGAATTTATTAAAACTCATTTAAACAGACTGTTTCAATAATTCGCGATACTTATTGAAACTCCTAGCGATACATAGATCGATGTGGTGGTTCTCAAACCCGATAACAACACCACCGAGGCAGTCTTCGGCTATTCTTTCCCTGATTCGAATTACTTTGCCAGGTTTCACGAACTTCTGTAAGATTGCTATTAGTTCAGTCTTGGTAGCTGAGTCTAGTGGTTCAGCAGTCAAAACTTCACATGGAGTCTCGTTCCTGTGCGCCACCATGATGTTCAGGAACATGTTTATCATGCGTCGCAAGTTCTTCAGACGCCCATTCTCAGCCACGACACCGAGGAAGTTTATAGCTGTTTGTGGCATTCCTGAATATTTTAATATACATTTATTAACTAATAAAATTCTCTTATTCATTTTTAAAACTATCAAAGCATAAATTTATGTGCAATCTTTTCAATCGATTAGTTTGTTTCTACATGATTTTTTATTGTTGTTATTTGTTATCATATTATTATAGTTTAATTCAACTAATGTACTTATAATTAATACAGACAGATTTTTTGACAAATTTTATTATACATAGCCAACCACAAAATATATAAGTTTACAGGTGTCACTACAAATAGAAATGCACATTTGATGCAACTCAAGTCAATGTGCCACGAAATTTAGTGCGGACACGTTTGGCATTTTGAGAATGAGGTTTTTTATGTGATAGGTTGGCAAACGGGCAGACGGGACGACGACACCCGCAACACAAAAGGAGTTGGATTAAGGTTTCGGATATTTACTGATTGGGAAGGGATGGTGAAAGGGGGAGGAATTTGGTTTTATTAGAGAGGCTTTTACTACAAGTGGTATTATATATTTCACCTACATACAAATAGCTTCATGTAATGTAATACTGTATAAAACCCACGTTGTAAAATATAAAACAGAATATGTACCTTATCTCTGTAAAGTTCAGCGCTTACCTGTTTCTTTACCAATATCCATAAGCAGCTTAGCTTTAACTGGTCGAGATACAAGACTGGTTGATATAAAGTCCACGATCGCAGGCCGAGCCAGCACTTGCTGAACATCACGTAGACTCTTCTCTACAGCATCTAACTCATTTTTTTGTGAAGCCGCGCTGTAGAGGGCGCTCACGTAGCGGCCTTCCAAACCTTATCGTGAGAATTATTATATTACAGCATAAATTAGAATTGGAATAATTAAATAAATGAGAATGTAATAATCTATACTATCTATACTAATATTATAAATGCGAAAGTAACTCTGTCTGTCTGTCTGTCTTTTCTTCACGCTTAAACTACTGAACCGATTTCTTAGAAAGGACATAGTAAATTCTGCAGGAAGTCACAATTCAACGCGAACGGAGTCGCGGGCAAAAGCTAGTATTTTATAACTGTGAGTGTCATATAGAAAACAAACTCAAAATCACTGAATATGGATTTCCTATGTGGATTGGTCGGGAAACCAGTAGAAGTGTTATCTGATGGGGAAGCAATAGGCACCGATCGTGGACCCCCGATACACCAAAGAAGGTTTAAGTGCGTTGCTCGATTTGGGACTTTGGGATTGCAGGAAGAGGATACTATTGAAAACGCCTTATCTTCCTCCAATTGGTAAGCAAACTACAAGCGTACATATTATAACATGACAATACAATCTCTTTTCGCCAACTGCACACCACACAAGCGACGACTTTTTCAAACAATCAGGTCAGTATAAAAACCTGTGTGTTTATTTGTGTGTGTGAGTTTGTGCAGATTTCAATTTCAATAAAAGTTGTAGCGGCATCTTAGGAATTTAATTCCATAAAATAAACGAATGTTAATGAGAATGTAAGCCAGAGTTTCGTTTTAAAAGTATGTATTTGTAATAAGAAATATATGAAAATAAAAATAACGTGGGTCAGTTTATGATTTAGACATTACGCACACTTAGAAACTCTGCAATTCCACCTCCATGAGATAAAATAGACCTACCTAATCAGCTTGTGGGTGCTCCCTGTTGACCAAAGGCCTCTTCTCACACGAAGAACTTTTCCAAGGAGTATTGGTAATTCAAACTTATAATTATTATAACAAATTAAAGTCTAGGTTAACTTACGACCAGTGGTGCATAATAATCTGAGAGTCACATTAACAATGCCAGATTGTGAAGCACTCTTAAGCATGGAAAGCAGGTGCCTTAACATGAACCTATCTACTTTTGAAATTTTGACTCAGATCTACTGAATTAAAACATTAAAGAAGAAACAAAAAGAAATTACCATATACATGAATTGGTGGCTTATTTTTTATCGTCATTGTACACATCGATCTAATAAACGATCGCAGCATTCTCAATTATTTTTATTGTATTTTCATTTAGATAAATAATTAAAGTTGTTAATTTTAATTGCTGACAGAAAAATAAAATTGTATAAACTGCCAGAATGACAGCACAGAAATTCATAAACAATTTATTTAAAATAGGAACTCCTGAACACAAAGAAGTACGTAAAACAAATTCTAAAATAATTAAGCATTCAAGTCAGCACATCGTATTGGAACGCTTGGTCTGTTTCCAATAAGGCTCTAATGTAGATTACTAGGCACCCAAGAGCCATCGCTGATGTCAGAGAATTGCAGGCCCCACCTTCAGAGGTAGCCGCTTTCTTCACTCGATACTCTTCCTAGAACGAAAATTATATCAAAATAAATATAGAGCACATGTTTTTATTTAATTTTGAGAAGTACTGTTCCTAAACTAGCTATTCCCACGCTGTGGTTGTTTCACGCCGGCTTTCTGTGAGACCGTAGTATCACTCCGGTCGAGCCGACCCATTCGTGCCGAAGTATTGCTCTCCCACACTTTTCTTCAGATCTTGATTTTTACAATAATACCTTTCAGATTATGCATATGGAAAAGCTAACGAAACGAAAGTTACGTAACCGAAAACATGATTTTTCTGGAACTTATATCAACTAAAGGCTGTTTGGTAAGTCCGCAGATCGACGGTCAATAGATCTTTAGCATAAAGTTTAATCAAACTTAGTCTTACATTCGAAATAAATTTATTTCGTAAATAAAATAAGTAGGTTTAGCCTTTACTTTCATTAGTTTCTTTTTAAACTAGACTACACTACCTTTCATGATAGACATTTAATCAGATTAAATATTAAAATTCGTTGGAAGGATGAAGTAATATGTCTTAACATATATATTATTTTGCATTACCCACCTAGTTATTCTGTCTCGACAGACTTTTGCAATAAGCTGAATTGTAATTATCTAATTATATATTAGTATTGCAAGGTAATTAGTATTTTCAGTAAATTATAATAAAACTGACTAATTAATATGTCATACTAGAATTGAGTACAGTCTGAATAAAGTAACAAGAAAATATTATTATTTTACTGCTGCGTTAAAGAACCACAAGAATTATAATTTGACTTCAGACATCTATAAAAACGCGGTGCCGATTATATTCGTCTTAAAATCTGTGTAAATAATGATTGTTTTGCTGAAATAATGTACTTTTTGTGATTGTATTTTCTACGAAAATATCTGCTTAATGACAGAGTTGTCTAGGCGTGGTCATTTGTGTTCTTATGACAGGACTTGACTGGTTTATTTTGTGCGCATTTAGTTAATAGTCGACAGAGGACGATGACACGCACTCTTTGGTCTTTTCAGACCGTAGTCTGTGATATCCTAATATTCTTTGTTTTGTAGTCAAGTAATCATAGCCCAACTTTAAGCGGACCCTGATCTTGGAGCATCCACAAACTGCATCGAAACGAGTGACAAACATTGGGATCTTAACTAAGACTAACTGCTCTTTATAACAAAAAGGCTCTTATGTTGACGTCATTATTATCATGATTATAAATAAATTATTTCAAATGCTCATTCTTTAATTACCTCTCTTTCTTTCTGTGATGGTACAGACGTGGCTCCCACAAATCCTGTAAGCTTCAAAAATGATTGGCGATCATCTGCATAGCAACCCTTTGGCTCCTGCCATGCTAAGATGCGATTCATCCAACGAGGTTTTATGAATTCTCCGTACCCTTGTGTAGAACAGTACAGAACTGGAAAATATGATTAATATCAATACAGCACAAAACTTTCAAAAATGATCTTTTTGCAGGGGTGACCACCATATTTATGTGTGTCGAGTTTAAGTCTCATCATAGTGCGATAATTTATTATTGCAGTCACAATTTAACATGACACGCATCGTCATATAATAGAAAATATGAATTTCCATTTCACACTATATAATCCATCGGGGCATTGAAGACGAGAGATATCGCTATATTAGGCCATATATACAAATTAATATCCACTCACTTTGCTGCATAAACAACGTTTTGGTTCCAGGTGGAAGATCCCAGGCTTCCAAAGACTTAGTTTCTTTATAGACTTGAATGCAAAGTTTGTAGATATGAGCTGCAATGTCCATGCCCTCTAAACAGTCGAAGAGATACGCTAAAGCTGCAGCTCTAATGCGACTGGTCTGTTGGAATGCTAGACCAGACCCCTTGAGGATTTGGGCAGAACATTCTGGCGTCAGCTCACATGTTCCTTCATTCTGAGTTGTCTGTGACTCCATAGCCGATATTAATAACTGCATTGTACAAGCATCTGGAATTTAATATTTGTAATTAAAACCGTGATTGTCAAGTGGTTGCTGATGAGTAAAATAGCATCTCTGTTGTGATTCCCGGAATCCCAGATATAATAGCAAATAGCAAAGAGTCGAGATGTAGGACAAACGCAATTATGTACTGCGGCCTCAATGTGGAGCAGGAGAAGGAACGGGGAGGTTCTGGCCAGTAAGGATCTGATACTCCCTTGACCCACCTGCGAGAAAAGTAATTTTATGCCCCCCTCACAAAAATAAAATAATGTACTCCATTATTTTTCGGTTCTTAAAAATACCCGGCATGAAGCCCGGAAAAGTAATCGTTATGGTGATAATTCACCTCTATTTAATAGAGCTCAAAACAAAATTAATGATTGATGCTATTTCTTATATCCGCACAATTCGTATGCTGAATAGGAAAGAAGCCTAACTCCTCAAAAAAGAAGATATTTGAATCTAACAAAATACATAAACATAAATTCAATAATAAGGTTCAATTTTGAAATAACCTTTTTTATTAGTAAGTTCTGTTTTCTATTAAACATGCGCATTATTTACCACTTTTGGAAACCAAAGGTATGTCATTAAATCGCATAAATTAAAACTAGGCTGACAAGCTTTCACCTCATTTCTGTCCCCAATGTTGATTGATATCAAGTGGCCACGCCATGTAATTATTACTGGAACTATTATAAAAAAAGTCGGCCTTTGAAGAAATCGACCGTGTCAGGGTCTGTATTGAAAACTAGCTTCACATTGAATACTAAAGTATGTTACGCAGCAACGCAGATAGAATAATGATCACTCCAATTTAGTAAAATTTCTCTATTAGGTAAGCTCTTAAAATAATTCGGTTGTATTTGTTAATGTTTTAAAGTGACTTTGTAACTTAATCAAACAATGATGAACTTCATTATACGTAGTTAGTGGAGTTAAATTTTTAAGTATCAAATACTTAAGTAATAGTTTTTTTGTATTACATTAGTGACTCGAACATTGTTTTACATCTACCTAAATGTTTAAATAGTAAATATTTTATCGATTAGCAAATTTTATCAGCAGTACATCTACGTGCAGTAATGTTTTACTTTGCCCATTAACAAACCTGCTGCCTTCCTGCTCGGCATTTTCGTCTTCGCCTCTTGCACATATTGTTCGAACGAGAACCGATAAGGTTTCTGTGTGCCCATTGTACCGATTGAAATTGGTTCCATTAAACTTGATAGCACATCCATATTCTCGAATATTGCTTTTGCCACTGTAAAAATGATAAAACGTAAGATAATCAGATACCACACGCATCGCTGATACCTTATACTCGTAAAACACGCCTTCACCCGCTGATCGGCTCAAATTGATCTTGATGTTATATAGTATTTTTCGATAAATGAACTATGCAAAAGAAAAGACAGACCACAATAATAATACCCTGTAGCGGCCCTGCACGGCTCACCATGATTTTGCTAGGCACCGCCTTGTCCTCAGGAATGCGCTCGGCGCGGCAGTGGTAACATCTAGCGTCTGGCCTATGTCCAGGGCACAGTGTAAGATTTAGGTAATGTTATGTTTACCGTTTTCAAGATATTCAAAATATGAGACAGAAACTATCAAAGAATATTCTAAGAATTTATTAAAACGTACAGTAAAATGTAGCTCACAACAAAACTCTGATTCAGCTAAATGAACTATCCATATTATATTTTTAAACAAGCTGTGAAGAGTCAAGTTCTCTAAAATGTCTCTATAGTCAAGCATTATAAGAGTCATGTTGCCACGAACTTTTAGTTTACCAATGTTTATAAATGCTCTTTATAATAAGCACTCAAATATAATGTCTTGTAACATACAATAAATCCAGGGAAAGTGCACATTCAGTGATATAACTCCAATAAAATACACTTAAAGGAAACTTTCCACCTTGCTGTCGTAAACTATAATAGAACCTACATTTATTTATAACTATTTGAGATAGTGTTTTATTCCGTGATATAAGGCTTCGTCTTCACTGTTTCTATAAAAAAATATTTTTTCTTCATCACGCGTCTTTCAAATTATATTTTATGTTTAAGTGTACATAACAATTTATTTTTTACTTATGTTTCGTAAAATATAGTTGACTTTAATGACATAATGCAAATTTATAAGTGACCGTCTTTTATTTAAGAAGGCAATTAACGAATATTTGGTACCATGAGCGTTTGAATTTATTTATTTATTTACATTGCTAATTCATTTATAAAACTTGTGAGTAGGTTATGTATTTCTTACATAATTATTTTTCTGCAACGGCCTTACTAAGCCGCTGCAAGTCCTGTAAATCAGGATCAACAGAGTCATCACAATTTCGAAAAACTCGTAAGATAAACGGACTCGTTTTTAAACGGAACATATGTGCATTTTTGTTTCTGCATATTTTTCATATTCAATATTTTTTATCGACGAGTTCTAATCAACCATTCTGTGTGTTAGCTGACTCGAAGCTTGATTGACAGTTAGATAGAGTCAGTAAGCACCTTTATGAGAAAGTATTACCGCAATGGACTAATAGAAAAAAAACTACGCGTTCAGATCATTGGTACATATTTGTAACGCATTATTACCTAGCTACGCACATTGCGCAATTAAAAAATAAATCTAAACTAATAAATAATAAGACCTAGACCTAGTTATATAATTTAACTATTTTTACATTGCAGAATGTAATAAATAAAAGTTTTACTAGTAGCACACGCCCACGGCATTATCCACACCCATATATATGTGCATAAGACCTCAATACATAAGACCTTATTGATTATTAAATCTTAAACATAAGCCTTCAAATGTATTTAAGTCATATAGTGCCAAATATAGGTACCGAACTTGGGCCGAAGTCTACCCAGGATGTACAGACACAACGGCATTTCTTCTTAGATTAGTCAGATACGAAATGCCGGCTTCATCTAGTTTTTATTGTTATTTGCAAAAATAAATTCATTGTTTCATTGTTTCAACGATAGACCGTTGCAAGGGGCTCGGAACGGGAAATGGAATGTTTTTTAGTAAGTAAAAGTCTAACACTCCCTACAATACAACTACCTACTATCTCACTCAGGGCGGGAAATAATCGCTGTTCTCCACAAAAAACGGTACTAATTTCGTCTTTTTTAAGGTTAAATATCGTCTGATGCTAAATATCTGCATATAAAAATAACACCTAAACCCGGAACCGACCGAATACAGTTTTGTTTAAAAATCATAATACAAATATTCATGTATCTCATTTATATGCTACATTTTAAACATTTCCACAATCGAGATCACCATTCGTTCTTGTTGGGTTAGGTCATGAGTCGTTGATGTCGGCAATAAAGACCGATGTGATACGAATACATAAATAAACAACCTAACAAAAAAACTCTGCAGACATTTGTTTAAATTTAGTAAGAAGTTATTACATGTGGACATTAGTTATGCTAAAATTCAACGGTAATTAAAATTAGTTAGGCTACATATAACTTGATTTAGATGTGCAATTTCATGTAACATGTTACTATGTTACTCAATTTCTAAGTAAGAGAGAATGTCTAGCAGTCGTCCCTGCGGGTGTTCTGCCTGTACAAAGTTGGGCAACTAAGCGTGAACTGCCTAAATGATTTATCGTTATTTCAAATGTAGACTACCTCGACGGGCGAATGGAGGCTAGTGCACCAGCCGAGGTGTTGTGTCTAGGTTAGATTCCTAAGTCCAACAAAGACTTCAAGCAACGGAATCGGAGCTCGGCAATAGTGCCATCTATCGGGAACATTTCCCTGACTACTTTGCGGGTAGGCCTATGACTACCTGTAATTCCAAATTACTCATAACACCAAGGAAAAAAGTAATACAGAATGAGCAGTTGTGTGTTCTGACCCTTAGTTCGGGGGTTATAGTCTTAAAGACACTATGTCTATACTCTATACTCTATACTAATGATATAAAGGGGAAGATTTGATTGTTTGTTTATTTGAATTAGCTTAACTCTGAAACTTATTGACCAATTGGAGAAATTCCTTCACTCTTGGGAAGCTATACATGTTACTATCTCGGGTGAACATATGCCTGGGCTAGGCATAGACTATGAACTCCAGATATTAATTAGCTATACAGAAATCAGAGACGAACTATGAGCCTTTCTATATAATATAAGTTTACCGGACACATTTGAAGGTGGTGAATTTAAATTAAGCAGAAAATAAAAGGACTTACAGTAAGGCCTAAGGTACCCTAAAACTTCCAAAATTATTTGCGCAACTTTTTCTTTGTGTGTAACAACTCTAGCAACTAGATGAATATCTATTGAGGCGCAGAACTAGTTTTAACTATTGTGCACTTGAAAGCCAATTAGGTAATGGTGTTGTTAGGTAACCTTTGGCTCTGAGGATATAGCCTTAACTGATAGACGTAGCCATTTAAAATGCAGAAATAAAACAAGAATAGAATCAATATTAAACTGTAACGACAGCCTCAAAGATGAAAAGTCAGTGATAATGATGTCGATACACAACAATCTTTTTTTACATCATAGGACGGTAAATGGGTAAATGGGTAACCTGATGGTAAGCAATCGGCCACGCCCATGGACAACCGCAACACTAGCGAAGTTGTAAGTGCGTTGCCAGCCTTATAGTAATAAGGATTTCGGATATTTAGGATACGAGGAAGGACTGGGCCTTTGATAACCTCACTCACAGGGCGAAATACAACGTTGTGGTTGTCTCACGCCGGTGTTTTTGAGGCCGTGGTATTACTCCGGTCCAGCCGATTCGCGCTGAAACATGGCTCTATCGCACTTATGAATAAATCTATCAGTATTTGATATTTATTTTTTATGTAATACATTTGTGTTGAACCAATCTAGTAGAACTCAAATGCACATGTTTGAAGACCTGCTCTAAAATTTTTATCTAAGATCTTGGTTGATCATGCCAAATATCATTTGAACAAAAAAGTGATAAAACATGACATGAAGTTATTATATTTTGTTAATATTTTTCTATCATGTCCATCAATTTATCATTATGAAGAACAAAAAATCCAGATCGTTTTGGATATTATTAGGTACAATCGAGTTCGATTTCATTCGTGATAATCGTGACCACAAACTAATCATTAGTATTATTGTGTAGATATGTATGTATAGAGTCTAAGTATTAGTTCTTTACGGCCTTTAAAAGAATCAGAATATATTGTTTAATAGTAATACATTTTAATACGTGATAAAATCTATAGGTACTGATATAATTGTAAAGGAGGTTTACGATCACAAAAAAACTATGTTTGGTTGTTTGTTTGGTCGCTTTTTTGCATAGATTTTGAATAAAAAATAGCATTGAAATATTTACTTTAAAGGGACTTAAAAAGTAAGATTTCTTTTGTTTTTACACCTTTGAACCTACATAAAATTCACGCGGTCGTAACTGTAAGCAGAATGCTAGTCTATACTTATATTATAAATAAGTAAGTAAAATTTTTAAGTTTCCTTTAGATGTAAAAAGAACGAAGAAGAAGAAGATAAATAGCTACTATGTTCTTTAGTGTAACAAAGGTAAGGGTGATACCGCGCAAAAGTAGCTAGTTATAAAATATGGCTTAAAAATCATATCATCCTGACTGACCGACTTTCAATCACGGACAATTATCTCAAGGAGACCAAATAGACTATTCAGCTAGTCATTGCAGACTTCGTGACTGAGTCGTTAGTCTAGTACTACTGCAGGGTAAATTCTTATTGGGTTCAATTACGAAATTTTTGCTAATGCCTAACAAAATTGCAAAAATGATAATGGATGGTTTCATTTTGTATGTGATAGGTCGGCAAATTAGCGGGTGGATTACCTGATAGTCAGCAGTCAGCACCGCCCATAGACACCCGTAACAATGGAGAAGTTACGAGTGCGTTGCCGACCATTTGAAAATTAATATTTTTAAGATTTAGGGATTTGGGGGAGAATCGAGCCTCCGGTAAAAGAATTTTTTCGCGCCGATTTTCTGTCAAGCCTATTCAAAGCAAGGCTCTCTCTCTACCATACTCAAAATTCTTCTTGGTATCCGACTATTTGATCATGGTTAAGTTTTTTGTACCGATCGCAAAGCCTAGGTAGAGAATCTCAGTATCGGTCATACGGAACTCAGTTTTGTATATTGTTGTGGTAATATTTTTATTTTCTCTCTCTTTTTGAATAAATTAACACTACAAAGTTGTAGAAAGACACTATTTTGGCATGACTGCGTTCAACTCATTCGACTATTGTATAACTGGTTTGATGTTGCCTTTTTTGTAAGAAATATCATAAGAGATGTAATGCAACATACCGTATTCATAATCTTTGCTCCGATACACGAAGCTGGAGAAATCGGTATTATTTTTGATGCGGTCCATTCGTCTGGTGAGGTTCTGCAAGTTCTCTTTAAGCTTGCCTGGCACTGACTTATCTAGTTCGTTGATCGTGTACTCCAATTGACCTGAAATAATTGAGAGCATTTGGTAAGGTCGAACAGCTTTGGTGTATACCTACCTTTCCTTCTCATGTACTCATTTACATAGATACATCTTTATAATATTTTGCAACTTGTGCGTGAGACTATAAGCATTCATGATGTAAACTTGGCAATGTTCTTAAAATATATTTGTGGTAAATGCTCAAGGGTGATTTATGTGTGTGTGTTAATCTCTTTGCAACCCCGTTTTAGACAAAAGTTCAGATTCGAGTGAGTTCGCTAGTTGGGTTATTATACTCTGTATGATTTTTCCGGTCTCGGATCAGAATTGTAGCAACCATAATGATATACTGCACATAATTTTGAATTGAATTGCATGTGAGATGCTATTTTTCAGACACAGTTCTGGACCGGAGCCCATCGATCGAAGTGTAGGCTCTCATCATCTTTTATATGCAACTCGATAACGCTTAAAATGCATGTTAGGGACAGTGTAAGTGTGTTTCTTTGAAAGTAAGATGTGACATTATCTAAGTACGGTTCGATAGGAACCTAAATGCGATAGGTATATGAGTGGATTATTATATTATAATTCAGTGTTACCTCGTGCCATTCCCAGGGCGATGTACCATTCCGGGTCTTTCGAAGGCTTTTTTTCATAGTACTCTAACAATTTATCCAGTGTGATAGATATCCTGTATACTTTAGGAACATTATATATGAAATCTTGAGTATCAAAGTACGGATATATACCGTAAGAAACTTTCGCAGTCACAATTGTTAACAAGACGATATATTTTATGCACATTTTGTATAAAACTAACTGGTCTACAGTGAAAACTAATGGTGTTGTAAAAACCTATAAAAATGGCCACTCGGCAACCACTGATTGGGCCATTTGTACGCATTTTATTGAACTTTGTCGTAAGTTTGTTGTTAGAACTCAATTCGAAGTCAATTGAAGTTGTATTGTTATTAACATACATATTTTTAACCGAGTATCATGAAAGTATCAGTAGTTACTACTACTACGTCTTGAGTTTTTTTTTATAATGATTATAAAAAAACACTTCTTTGATCTTGAGATGTGATTCGAAACTACTCAAACAATCAAGAACCGATCAAATGTTGGAACTACTTACTCTCTAGGATGTAGACACAAACTTGTATTCGTGCTGATATAAGAAACGATTTGCCTAAATGTATGGAGAATAGGATTATATTGTAAAACAAAGTGAACCTATATGACATTGTGAGAGCACACATTTATATAATTGTCTAATTCTTACAATAGCAGCCTCCACGTGATTGCATTCTATGCCTATGCCATTTGTAATTAAAGTGATCAATTTCAAGATTACATTTGAACATGTTGCACATGAATTAATTTCAATCACACATATAAGAACTAAATTATTGATTTACGAATAAACGACCATCAATCTAGATTTATCTAAGTTATTTATCGGTGCTTGTAATATTTATAAAGTCGTGATACCAATAACTTAAATGAGTAATAATAAAAAAATCAACCCATTTATCCTTAACGGTTTTTCTCTTTTTATATTATTTTTAGCACAATGTGTGTTTAATAATGTTATGTACGAGATACGATGGGGCTGACATGGTTACTGTCATAACCACAAGTCTCTAAAAAAAATAAAACCCATTTATCCAATATATACGTATAGAATAATAACATGTCACGAAGAAGACAAAATGCATCGTCAATAGATTCGCAACTTACTCTACAATTATTAGAGTCGAGAAATGTTAGAGTGAGTCCACATTTTAAGGCTCGTTAAACTTAAATGTTTCGTAATAAAACGTGATTTATCGACGATCCCACCAATTAAATGCAGAAGCTGCTAGTGTGTATGTCAAAACCGCAAAAGCTAACCTAAGAGGGGCTGAACGTAGTAGTATGGAAAGGGCGCGAGTACGCACCGCCAGACAAATTCAAGTGGCGAACTCGTGCTCACGTATTTTTTGCGATGCAGACAATTGTATCGCATCCGTTCTGCCATCTACGTGAAAAACTAAGAAGTGAAAAGTTTCAGTTATAGTGTTTATATAGATAGTTGTATGTTACGCAAAGCATGGCGGTGTCGCATCAGTGGTTCGTGCAGTGGTCCGCCCCGCCGATGATCTTCGCGGATATTACTAGTCAACACAATGACGTCAATGACCGATGGAAAAGTGATGTACCGACTTGGAGTAACCCTGCAGTGGTTCCTGAACTCAGTGTCGATAGTTATAACGACCGGGACAGCTTGATAGATAGTAATCATAAGTATAAGTCAGATAGATCTAAAAATAAAGGTAAGTTTATTATTATTAGTTGTATTATAAAGTGTTATGTTGTCTTTCCTTATTGTTAGATAGCTGCTTAGTCATATAATTATCCATAACAATATTATAAACTTAAGCTAGACAAAGAGTAGGAAGCTATAATCCTATTATTATATACGTTTTAATTTATTGTAATTAAGAAAAAAACAATTTTGAAATATGAACGTTATATTTATTTCATAAAGACATAAATCAAAATTTGTATTGATTGAAGTAAATTACAAAGTTGCAAATAATTGAAACAATAGCAGGATTTAAGACGAAGAAAATTGCTTACAATTAATCCATCATTTAGTTACCTATATTAGAACAGTAATCGCTATAAACATTGAAATCGTGTTCACTGATCGTCAAAATTACGAGTAGCACGCCAGTAACCATAGGCCACTCTACAAATCAAGTGGAAATATACAATTATTCAACTGTTCAATATGATTATGCACTAATTATTGACTATTTAACAAGAAGCGTTTGCCATAACATGAATATATGTATTGTGAGCTAAATTATCTGTGAAGCTAAGTTTCCCTCGTAGCAGGGAATTTGAATTTTTAATGAGTAGTTCCTCATTATTATTAGAAGCTTTTGTTTATCATATCTATACTAATATTAGATAAGCTATATAGAGTTTATTTGAATGCGCTTATCTCCGGAACTATTGGTTCGAATTAAACACAGAACAGGAAAATTAATTATTCCATGGAATTGAACATTTGTTTTTTTTTTTTGTTCGCTAGTCCATTTATCAAGGAATACCTGTAGGAGCAGCGAATAAAAACGAACGAGAAAAAACAGTAAAATATTAAGATGTACCTTTACATGTACGTTTTTGAAGTGGGATCTTGCAAACAATTTGCAGATATCTTCGCCTTATTGGGCTTGAACTTTATATGTATACACGATTAGTTATAGTGTATAATATTTTTTATAGTTAGTAGCTTTTCCTAGTAGGATTTAGGCTAAAATAATTTAAAGCCCTAAAAATTTTTGATGTGTTTTTTCCTGCGACTTATTTTTCGACTCACAAAAAAATTTGAATAATAAGTTTTTTCAAATAGTGTATTAAACAAAAGCTAATGTATTATCGATATTGATTATGACATTAGTTAGGTAGTCACAACTTAAATTTTTAATAAGTTTGAAGCTACGAGATCGTTAATTATGCATATGCATTTTTTTAAATGTGCAACGTAATATTTTACAAATGGTGTTTGTTGTCTTCGCCATTGTATGGAGCTATTAAATGCATTTTATAGTAATAAAGAAGACACTAATTATTGATGTTCAATGAACCTGAAATCTATAAAGTGTGTGTGTGTGAACACGGGCGGACACGTGAACATGATCAATGATCTATCATTTGGAATCCCCATAATCTATAATCTGCATTAAGTTTAAATTGAATAGCGCATAAATTTGTCGGTGCAGACTTCAAATTTCGTGAGCCAAAACCTGAAGAAAGAAATATACTCGAAATAATGTAATATGTAAATTGAATGTCAGTCAAGGCCAACTGTCTTACACATTATTCACAATTCATTCGATTATTTTATAGACGTGTAGGAATGAATTAAAATGTTAGTCATAATTCAAAATTTATTTAATAATAATTACTTTATTTTTTTTCATCAAATTCTAATAAATAATGAATTAAAAATCAATAAAATTAACCTTATCATTGATTAAAACAAACATATTAATACACTGTTTTAAAAAATATGTTTATTGCAAATTGAATGACACGGGCACGAACCACGACTACGTGGAGAATTTAAATTAATATTATGTAAACAAGACATATTATTACACTTAATAAAAGTATTTCTCTCATTACATGCATTAGATAACATACTAGGATCCTTACCTAATGTATACTATACTGTGCATGCACTATGTATGTATAATAGTAAATAAACTGTTATATAACCTGCAACCGACAAGCATGCCTGAAGAGATTGATGAATGTCGATGAGGAGAAAGAAGCAAAACAGAATCAGGCCACTACGTAATATTTTCCTTAAAACGTACTATATCACATCATTTATTAATGTGTTATTTAACAGTTTATCAATACAAAAAAGTGTAATATTATAGTGAAGTTAAATAATAAATCATATTTGCTAGGCATTCTTCTTTCGGCTAGGTATTTGTAATCCGTGAGAGACGTTTTTTTATGGAACATCGTTAACTTCAGTTGATAAAACGGTTTGATTTAGGTACGACGTTTATTTCGTTTCGTTTTTTTAGCGCAATAAATTAGTTAATTTAAAGCTAGTAAAGTAATCTAGGTAACAAAATCTGATTGGAAGATACATATAAATACTATCTACTTATCTTACCGACACGACCTTCAAAGCTTCAAGAAACGAGCGTACTCCTTCTTAAAAGTCCGGCAACACGACAACACGCCTGTTTTTCTTCTGGTGCCGCAGGTGTCTATGGGTGGTAATGCAGATCGCTTACCATCAGGTGATCTGTCTGCTCGTTTGCCTCTATTCCTTATAAGCTACATGAGTCCATGACATATTTGGACGCCTGTCGATGTCATTTCCTACTGTTAGTTACGTCATAAGTCAAGGACGATAAACGAATGACTGTGATCAATTATTGTCATCATGTATTACGATTACAATTCAAGTCAAATATCCTACAAAACCTACTGAAAATATTAGTTAGAAAGTGCGTAATAAGGTGCTAAAACCAAATAACTAATAATATGCATCACATTAAACAGCAATAAGCACCAGCTTATTCGAATTTACAAAATTTTAAAATGTTAACTAAAATAACAACGGCTGCATGTGTACAATTAATAGTAATATGTAACCTACACACCGTTTTCTTGAGCAATATCGAGCATTCGAACTGGTGAAAGTAAAGTCGATTACACTTATCGGTCACAAAGCCATAGCCGGTGGAATATGCCTCTAATTGTAGTGTAGGTACCCCACGCAAATTTTTAACTACAGCCTCTAAACGTATTAAACTGATTCTATCTTGAACATTTACGGGCAAATCGTGTTGTATAACTAGAGGTAATGTTCAGTGATTAGTAAGACCATGGACATAAAGATTTAGTTAGCATAGTGTTGCTTCCTTAATTTTCGATTGATTATTTATTATATTTGTTCTTACAATGTAATGCTGCCATTATTGCAGTACGATGGTGTAATCTGTATTTTAAATTAAGCTACTCAGTATGATATAACAGGCTAGGGTCTAGCTATGATGCCGGGGTAAGCGCAAAGTATTACGCAGCCTTGGCATGAAGCAGGAAAAAGAACGGGGTGGATTTGAGTCAGTAAGAGTCCCACACTTCCTTTCCAAAGCGGATTCATACTTCGATATGTATATGTAAGCTCTTGCATTCTTTTACTATATTTAACTGTTTTCAAAATAATACGTACAAGGGAAGGCTACCTATATGTTGTATGCATTCTTTTAGCCAACTGCAACCTTTAGGTGATGCAGGGGGAACACGGTCGGTGCAATAAAGGAAAAGTGCAAGAAAAACAGAAATGAAATCATTCTTGATCATTAAACACGACGCTTTAACAGGTAAACATTTAGTTTGACATAGCATAGCTTAAAATTTATTTGTTCTCATTTCATGATTGGCTGCGTTTTCAATACACACAAGCATATATTAAACAACAGCAATATTGAAATTGTCGGTAAAATTTTTTTTTAAGATGGTTACAGATCTTTTTCTATTAGTTTATTTTTATTTCTCCGTATATTAAACCAGTTTAATTTAAATGAAGTTTAGTGTGAATATAGTGAAACCCTTCATTGATTTCACGTTGTAATGTGAAGCTTAAATGTTGTACACTATTACCGCATTCTCGCTCTGTTGATTAGGATAATCGATTAATTAGGCATTATGCACTCTATCTTCATAACAGGGAAGTCTATTTCGGCGCCTCGCCTCACACTATTTCCGCAGATGGTAGCGATTCGATCGCTGCTCATGATGTGATCGATTATGATAAATAATATATCTAATGATTATGATCAACCGAAGTGATCAATTTCGTCGTTCGATCATAGATCCGGGAGTAACTTCTTCACATCCCCGACTCCCGAAACCATAATCCCCAAAATGAACGGCAAAGCACTGGTAACTCCTCTGGTGTTGCGGGTGTCCATAGGTGGTCGCCGATTTCTTACCATCAGGTAATCGGGATTTTTGTTTGCCATCTTATCACATCAAAAAAACCTACTACTAGCTAAAGGTCTCCCATTTTTTCTATCATACTACTTACTTAGTTCATGTACCTACTCCCCTCCTTTTTCATATTTTTTGCAGCCAACGCGTAAAAATCTAGAAGTACTGGCACTGTCTAGAATTTTTTAATGCTCATACTTTGTCTCTGGAACAGTTAGCAATAGACTGTTTTCGCGCACAATGCATGGGGTAAATCAATATACCTATATAAATTACAAAAGATGAGTATAATATTTATAAGAATCTATATATAAATATTGTTGAGAGAGCGCTCGAGTTTTTTGGCGAACGTATTCTAGTTGACGATCACGATGAAGGATTTATAAGCATACTAGAAATTATTTAATTTCAAAGTGTTTCCTAAATATTGTATTACAGTATATTGCATTTAAGTAGTTTATAATACGATCTATTGTTATGTAAGTATTACATTTTGAGGAGTTTATATTACAACAGTGACATGACATGTTACGGCTGAAAACGTATACGGCTGATTACCAAACATAGAACAGCGTTTTTTTTTTATATGGCAAATGGGCAAAATATATTAAATTACCATTCTTTAGGTTCTAATGTTACATAGTAGGTATAGTTAAAGAGTTCCAATGAAATAAAAAAAAACTACGTTTAAAAAAACCGACTTCAAAAACAAAAAAGTGTCAAATAAGTAATTAAAATTGATATTTTAATACCACTCTTACGTACGCGAAGCTAATATTTTTAATATTAATAATAAAACACTATCAATTCTATGTGCTACCTATTCATAGGTTTGAAGTCGGTGCCAAGCCTAATACATAATATAATAAGCATGATACATGAGTACCTAAACTCGCCGGGCGCGTTTGAATTTATTTGTTAGGATTTAAGAAATTTTGTACCGATTTTCTAACTTGATGGCGTTAGCGTAGAATCAGAAATCTATATGGTTTAATTACCGGCGAAACTGTATATAACTTAGAAAGATATTTGGTTGAATTATGAATTCTGAAAGTTTTCTCGTACTTGGTTGTTAAAAGTAGTAGTAGGTAGCTTCGTTGTTGGTTGTGGAAATTTCGTCTTTTAGCAGTTAAACAGTCTTAATTCTCATTTAGTTTTATTCTTTTTAGGGCTTGGCACCGACTTCAAACCTATGAATAGGTAGCACATAGAATTGATAGTGTTTTATTATTAATATTAAAAGTATTAGCTTCGCGTACGTAAGAGTGGTATTAAAATATCAATTTTAATTACTTATTTGACACTTCTTTGTTTTTGAAGTCGGTTTTTTTTAAACTTTTTAGTGTCTGTTACAAGTTCTTCTGTAAACTAAAGTAACATTTTAAATATAAATTAACATATTGAATATAGTATACATTTCTTAAGTAGCTATGTGTAGGCCTACAAAAGAAGCCGCTCGATTAAAAAATATAGATCCCAAGTTCTCATCATCATCATCCTCAGCCATTTTAATGTTCCCACTACTGGGACGCAGGCCATCTCTCTAGGAAAGGGAACATTCTTAACAATATAAATAAATTAAGTCCAAACACGAGGTAGCTACTGTAAACCGTTAGGAGTTCCCTAGACTGTCCTTCGTCTTCATCATCAGATCCTTAATGACAGTCACAATTTATCTAGGTGTAAAGATCTTATCAAAAAGAATTAATTAAGCTCAAAAAAAAGGAAGCTGCTATGAATCGTTGAAGAGATCCCTCGACTGTCTTTCAGCTCCAACATCTGGTCGACTTCGACCTTCGTCAAGTTGTAGTGTTGTTAAAGGCCTGCTTAAACATCATACAAAAAAACTATTCGCCACTACCATTTTCGAAAGTTCCCCTCGGTTTCTCCAGGATTCCATCATCAGATCCTGACCTCATGACAATGGGACCAAATGGCAAGTATACCCTATCGAATAAAAAAAGAATTTTGCAAATCGGTCCAGGCGTCTTCGAGTAATCGGTGTACATACATAAAAAAAAAATACGCGTCGAATTGAGAACCTCCTCCTTTTTTGAAGTCGGTTAAAAACTCACCAGTTAGAATCATTTACCAAGCGTTCCGACCTGGTTTTTTGTTTTTTAAGCAAGCACAACAAGGTACCGCGGCGTCAGCCTGAAACAGGAGAAGGATAGGTTTTTAGTCAGAAAGAGTCTGACACTCTCTCTAGCCTCACTCTAGGCGCCAGAAGTCATTTTGTTGTCCCTTAATCGAAAGTAGAACACAAAACAGTTGAATTTAAGTCAAGACAGATTTGAATACAATAATAGAGGAAAGTGAGTCGATCACGCATGAAATCGATTAACTATGTTTCACGGCTCGATCCCTATTGTGTGCAGAATGCGTATACAAGTGGCGACGGGTACTCGATGTAACCGCATCATTAAGCGTAAAACGATTCTATCCGATTGATACATCATTACATTTTGACAAGACGATACTATATTAACATAAATTTCGAATTAATCACCACCACACGGCACTTATATGGCATAATGAGGTAAATATCCAACTCTGTTATTAAATATGATTTGCACATCAATATCGTATCGTAACAAGATTGTCCGTTAAATAAGCTAGGAAAAAAATAAAAAACGTTACGCATGGTTTTCTCACACTATGCGTTTTGCAATAACACAGAAACTGAATTATTGATAGCCAAGCAAAAAAAGTTATCAAAGTGACTATGACAATTTGAGATGTGTAGTGGTAATTCAGCTATTACGTTGTGAATTTAGACCTAAAAGTATTTAAGGACAAATGAAGAAAGTATATGTAACTGTCGCACCCGATTGGCTAGCCTATTTAACAAATGCCATCGCAGTACTATTCTCGAATCTATTTATTTCTGATGGCAATTTGATTTGTGCGGATCTCGCTAGTCATTCAGCCTGTATGGATGGCTAATTAAGCTAGTTAGCTGCTGTATACCATATCAGAATAATATGGCTGTATACAACAAGTTAATCAGTCACTTAGAAACTAAACAGTCAAATAAATTTAATAAGGCTTGACCATGCGTATCTGTCTATACGTAACCGAATTGTTATAGTACTTATACGAATGTTAAAAATCAAATATTTGATCAACGCACCACTGTAACAATGAAATGATAACATTAATAGATTGAAAGTTTACACTCATTTGAGTCCTTATTTTAAACAAGACAATTATTGATCAAATGAAATTGGATCAGTTGTGTCCAACTCTTGACCGAGGTGCCAGTTTAAAGTGACTAATGTGTGTATTGGATTACCTATACAAATGTTTCTGGGTGTGTATTCACGCGATCTATCATTCATTATCACGCGATAAGAAACTTTTTAGAAAGCAATTAATGCAATACTTTTTCTACTCTAATTTTGCAATTTTTTCCCTACCATTTTGTTGGTTTACGGAATTTTGATTAAGCGATATGCATATAAATAATTTTTCGATATGGTTAAATAACAAATAGATCGTGGATGTACTACAAACCAATGGTTAAAATTACTACTTTTAAACAAAAATGTTTGATTATAAGCAACAAAGAACGGAGAGAGTTATATTGACAGCGAAAGTGCCCCGGAAACTGTTCTCCGTGAAGCCAATAAGTTAAATTAACAGTCTTTTACCAAGTTTGTGATATAAACGGAAGATTTTCTCTTGTCTTTACAAATAATTATATTCATTTTAAATAACAGTTCCTATTACATCACACGGGCTTCCTTAATAATACTCCTTCGAATCCAGAGCATGACAATTGGTTAGCCTCTAACCACATGGGACTTGTAAAAAATCTAGCCGAAAGATGCCTAATGTCCCTAAATCTAAGAAGAGGGAAAGATAGAACGAAAGTGGAAAGGTTCTTAGCAATTAAATGATATTTTTTTTATATATAGGCTTTACTAGTTACACAAAATAAGTTGCTTCCCGATGTCTGCCTCTATTTAGGCCTAGATCTTAAGAACTACGAGACACAATTTGATGGTGTTTTTAATGGATAGAATCATAAAATTAAAGAAGAAGTTTTACCTGTATATTTTATTAAGGTTTGCTGACGAAGTCACAGGCAGAAAGCTATTATATAATATAAATATGAAAATAAAATTGACCATGTAAGACAAAATAAACAGCCTCATATTTATTTATTTGACCCATTCATTGAATGAATGTTCATACAAACATCATTTATAATACTTTTCTTATTTAGCGTGTCAATCAACCATAAATCAATGTTGCTGTCAACTGATCTTTATTTAATCAATGACATCAAATCAATTAGAAACGTACAAAAACTGAAACGTCGAATTGTTCGTAGAAATAGGTATCTATCTATTTACGGAATTATGTAATAGATATTCGTCATAACTTTGTTTTCCATATCAAACCGAATATTTGCAGCAAGCAATACCATAGGCAAAGTATAAACTGATTTGAACAGAAAGACGGAAGAATGATGAACCTTGACATTATCGGTATTTTTTAAATTAATATTATGGCTCCACAGTTGGCGCAGTGGCTGGGCAAGTGGCTGCTATGCAACTTGTTCGGTTTCCACACGGAAAAACACTTTATGTGATCCACAAATTGTTGTTTCGGGTTTGGGTGGATTGTGTATGTGAATTTGTATGATACAGTAGAAAAACATAATGTGAAAAAAAAAACATGTACCCACAGAAAAACAGACGCCGATACGGTATATCATACTTCAATCTTTCGCGTTGCATGTTAGTACTTTACTATTTTACAGGATTTAACGGGAATGTACATTTTTTAAAAGTAAAAAACAAAAATGACAATAAGGTAGTCTATTATCTTTAGTCCTAATGACATAGTTGTTCGTGTCGATGTTTCAGATCGTGCCAATGCCGCAGGAGTCACTTTGTGGCTCACCATGCTGGGAGTGATGCGCGCGCAGTCTGTACCTGCCGACAACGACACACCTCCTTTCAGCACCCTGTATAAGTGGAAGCAAGTCGACTTCGAGTTCCCTACGCCCAGACATCGGAGACATGCACTATCCTCGGGGTAAACACCATTGTAACTCATTTGTTTACACTCACAACCTATACAAAGCCAAACTTTTACTACTCGTATTATGCCATTGTTAATTCTTAGATTAGATAGATTGTTTTTAATTTCACAAAACAGACACGTAGTAAACTCTTTAGTTGCATCTATAGTACGATAGCATACATTGTATAAGTAACTACTCCAAAGATATTTTCATACTAATTCATAATCTAATTTATAAAAATGAAATGCTGTTTGTTAGTCTCACTACACCTTGAGAACTACTGGTCCGATTTGGCTAATTTTGATTTCAAAGGTCAGGAAACTGTAGCTAATTTTGAAGATTTCCGGGTCAACTAGTCTCTTATAAATACTACCGATTTGTAGAACAGCGATTAATATATACCGCGACATGGGAATCGAAATTCATTACTGACAAGCTATTAAATTATTTCAGGAAATTCATCCCCGCTAATGTGCTGCCCCTGGGCCTAGAGGTTTGGGGCCATCGAGTGTGGGTGACGATACCAGCTTGGAGAAGAGGAGTTCCCGCTACTTTAGCCACTCTACCCAGACAAGGGGGGCTTGCCTCGCCACAACTCAAGCCATACCCTGACTGGAGTTTTCATAGAGCATTTGGTAAGATACACCAATTTTTCTAAGATCACTTCAACAGAAGAATATAACATTTTTGCTTGAAAGTTTATAAGGTTCAAAAAGAGTAGAAAGTTATGTCTTTTTAATATGTCATCATATAACTAAAACAATACTAGGTTACTATTACATATGCTAAGGTTATTTATTGTGTCTGGTGCGGACGGCAGTTTCAAACAATTCTAAAAGAAGATACTAGTCTGTCAAAAGAAACAATAATAATAAAATAATATAAAAGTTGATTGTTTCTAACGAATAATTCAATCAGCAACGCAGACGATCGCCAAAACAGATTTTTGAAATTGTTATTTCCGAAATTGAGATCAATTTTTTTTTATGTAATAGGTCGGCAAACGAGCATGCGGATTACCTGATGGTAAGCAATCAGCGCCGCCCATGGACACTCGCAACGGAGGAGTTACGAGTGCGTTGCCGACCCTTTAGGGATTAGGGATTTGGAGATTTAGGGATTGAGGAGGGATTGGGGGAGGGGAAGGATTGGGCCTCCGGTAACCTCACTCACACGACGAAACACAACGCTATGGTTATTTCACGCCGGTTTTCTGTGAGGCCGTGGTATCACTCCGGTCGAGCCGACCCATTCGTGCCGAAGCATGGATCTCCCACACTTAAAAAGTAAAAAATTCTTTCCGCGTATACTCCTTCATGTCTTCAACAGCCTGAAAACTAATATTTAACATTTGATAATATATTATGATATAAGTAAAATATAAATAACAGACCGAGCTGTTATTCACTCTGCGCCAAAATGAAAAACAGTTGGGTCAATCTAGTAAAAACCAAAATAAACCTAAGTTTTAACATGGAACCATAAACAAATTATCAATATCATTTTTTTTTATCTGAATGCATATGTGGTTTGCCTACATGGTAATTTTCTTTATTCTTCCAGGTGACGTGAAGAATTGCACGGGGCTAACTTCTGTCTTCCGGATACACGCCGACCACTGCGGCCGACTCTGGGTGCTAGATTCCGGCCAGATAGACTCACAGGACAACCCGAAACAATTATGTCCGCCCAGTATAGTAGTGTTTGACCTCAAAACAGACAAATTGGTCGCACGGTACACGATACCTAAACAATTTGTATTGCAAGATTCGTTATTCTCCAACGTCATCGTGGACTCGAGGACAGCAGATTGTTCAGACCTTCATTTGTACATAGCAGATACCTGGCGATTCGGCTTACTAGTGTTTAGAGAAAAAGATCAACAATTTTGGAGATTCTCCAATCCATTATTTTTCCCTGATCCATTAGCATCTAATTTTTCCCTACATGGTGTAAATTTCCAGTGGACCGATGGAATTTTTGGCCTAGCACTAACTCCAATTGATCCATACGAGGAACGAATACTATTCTTCCATCCTATGTCTGGTTATAGGGAGTTCTACGTTTCAACAGAAGTACTGCGAGACCCGTCCAGAGTTAACAACAGTTCTCAAGAATTCAATATTGCTGGAGAGAGTAGAGGATTGAACGGCCAAGCTTCTGCATCTGCTGTTGATAGGACTGGAGTCATGTTTTATGGCTTAGTAAGTCGTGACAGTATTGGATGTTGGAATACAAAGAAACTCTATAAAAAGACAAATAATGGTATAGTGGCATCTAATTCGGAGACTTTAATATTTCCGAATGACATCAAAGTTGATCAAGATTTTAGGCAGAATTTGTGGGTTATAACGAATCGATTGCCGATGTTCCAAGCTGGACCGCTAGACGCCGACGACTACAACTATCGCATTCTGTACGCTGACACGAAGGAAGCTGTGCGAGGAACGGTTTGCGAAATGGACACCGGTCACCCGTCTCCTGCCAACATCGTACACAGAGGATGGCTGCCATAAAAATGTACCTCAAAATTTTTATTTAATTAAATAGCACTTTTATAAAAAGTGATTTTATTTAGCGCCTACTTATAAACTCGTAGCAAACCTCTCTGCGGTGGTTTGCTTCAAATATATATTTGTATGATATATACCGTGTACCGGTCGGTTTATATGGGTAGTTGATTTTATTTTACTATGTAATAAAATCATCCTTTTTCAGCAATGGGACAACGAGTCGGCTGAAATATGGTTTAACAAAACTTTTTATTAGATAAGATTCTCGAAAAAAAGAGTTGAATCTAGAATTGCTTGTACATGGAATAGAACTATGTTAGTGAAAATCGGATGTAGCATTTTATATTTACTTCTCTATGTATTTAAAAGAGTGTGTATATATAGGTCAAAGTTAACACAGAATTTGTCTAAAACTGTTAGGTATACTATTTTGAAATACTATGAACGATTACTTTCTATGAATTTTGTATGAGATTGCAAGCATTATGACGTCAATGCTTGTGCGTCAAATATAGCATAAAAATTTCATAAGATTACGAAAATATAAGTATTTTGTTAATGAAAATGTATTTTAGGACATTATTGCATTTAGAAATCGACCTATTTATATTGTACAATGAAAAAGTCTCGATTGCCTAGTCAAGTCGCTGTAGATGCTGTAGATGCTGCTATTGATGATAGACTCCTACGCACAGTAACTCAGATTTTCGTCGATGTTTAAGGTGTGCTGAGAAATAAAAAAATACTTTACCTTCTTTGACATATAACTTGTAATGTATTAGCTTCTGTCGTGACAACCAGTTGCATTTTCAGTCTGTCCGTAAAGGAAGAGCTTATACTTGTTTATTTCAGTAGGTTTGGGGTTTACATTTTTTCTGTAGTATAAGACTTGATATCTATTTAAACCTAATATTAAAATGCGTATTGTGAAATGCCCTATGATATAAAACCACGTTATATAAACAAACAATAAAATTCTGTTACCACTTAATAGTCCATTATTATTATTATCAGATTTAAGGAAATAATACTTTAAGTGAATTCAAGTCATTGGCCTTCTTTAGATTGTAAATTCTACTTGTAATTCTATATTTTTTTAAACATATACGTTATAGGCTATATAGGAATATACCTACGCAGCGTCTACGTACGGCTACGCAGCGTCTACGCAGGCCTACGCAACGTCTACGCAAAACTTTGTTCTATACGATTTACGAAAGGAAGTGTTCTATTTTTTTAACTTAAGTATTCCATTGATCGATAGTTGTGTTTAATATACATAACAATACATATTTTTATAATAATACATATTTTTGGCTAGTAAATTAGTTGGTTAGACAAACAAAAACTTAATCAGGCATTTAAAAGAAGGATTAGGTACATTACAAACACGCAAAGCGTAACTGTTACACTTCAACTCATTACAGACATCCACGACTTGACGTAGGTACATACGAATTGAACGTTACAATCCATGTTATTATACAAACTAGTTATTCAGTTTTATCACGATTTTAACATAGCCTGGTATACTAGTTGGGGGCATTACACCACTTCTTAAAAACTGTTCCGAGTTATACAGAACTGGTGGGCGACGCCAAACTATTTATGTAATAACTTCTTTAATTCGTGTTTAGTCCTCGACGGTAACATAACAGTTCTAAGCCACCGACTGGACGGACGTGCTACATCATACATAAGTATATGTAGTTTATTTCCATGCAAGTGATTCAGTGGTAACACGAAAATGGAGAAGGTAAGTTCCATTTTTTTGTTATTTTACTAATACAAATATGAACCTAATATTGTGATGATTTAATTTAGCAACTAAAAGATAGGATTTAAAGTTTAAAGTAGAATGTTCTTGCATTTTTTTCTTTTGTTAACGAGATTTGAGTTTAGTGCCAAATATTGACGAAAAATCTATTGAAGGTATATTTTGTGATTTTTAACCAGTTTTCGTATAATTTATCGACGCTTTCTACTCTTAGTTAAACTTGTTTATAATATATGGATTAATGGATAGCAGATAAAGAAGTGTAGGATCATTTCGAGGTGTTCTGGTGCTTTGTAATTTCTGCCAAGAAGCTTCATTAGAACAAAGAACTGACTACTCATTTTATACGTATTGTTTCTGGCTTTTCCTGCATGGTTCCATCCTCTATTTCTATTGATCGTAGTGCTAGCCAATTAAGCCTTCTTCGATAAATGGAGTTTATGTTACAAAAAAGTGTTAACTGTTCACTATGCAACAAAGAATATATTTGAAAAATGGTAATCATGTAGTTTCTTTCTCGATTCTCCATCGGAATCTACACTTTGAAACGAGCAAATAGTTTTTCGCCGCGAGCTTCATAAAGGACAGACCGACAGACTGCCATTTTTTATAATCTTTGATTGTATAAAATGTTAAATTGAAATAAATAATTTTAACAAAAATATTATTTGATTCGACCGTTAATCTGGAGGTTAAATCGTTGAACAAACAAAAGAAAGAAACTCGTTTAATTTTATGATATTATTATAGATATTTTTATTCATTACTTGAATGTGTTTTGTTGCTACAAATTTCGTAATAGTCACTTAGGTACATGATTTGTTGATTATGAGATCACAATCTGTGACAAATACAACTCCAAGACTAGTAGTAAGTAGTTCAAATTGCTCTAATTAGCATATTGGAGCAGTGATTACAAGTTTATATAATTACTAAGACCTAGAATACAATCTATAGCTCTTGCAAAACCTAAAAATGTTTAAATGAATTAATTTATCAGTTAATATGTTGACATGATCCATTAGCATTATGCATAGGCACATAGCGACATCTATAAATCTTGACTGACGTCAGTTTTTTGTAAGGACAAATGGCGGTGACTCCTTTAGAACCCATTAATTATTGTGTAAGTTTATAAATTTGCCTATTTTGTTAAGACTAAGTAATTTCTTATAGCTAATTTTACTAAATATGTAATTGGTTGTAGTTGCATCATTTGTTTTTGTTAGTCCTAACGAGTAAATTAATAGGTATCTGAATGAAATAAAATAAAATATGTAGTTATCAATTAGATTTGACTTTCGATTTAAGAATTTATTCGAAGATTTTATTTTTATCGAGAGATGAATCGGTCTAGGTAATTGTTTTTTTTTAGATCTCTGACGCTATTCATCCTTATTTCCGAGGACTAGGAACAAAAGACAACACTTGACTGACGACTGTATAGCATTTGTTTTGTTTACATTTTGAGCGAAGTAATCAATCATTGAAAGTAAATGTTACGCATACATATGTATACGAGTACAAAGACTTCAATTACGAAAGTGAAGCTGTCTAAGCTTACCATAATGGTAGCTACATATGCTCCAAATTTCGACACAAATCTCGAAGATATGGAAAGGTACGAAGGCTTAATGAACAAGAATGTCTTAATGTAACTGTCGTCATGAACAAAACAGCTGATTTCCTCGGACTTTATAACTTAAGCGACAAATAGCAAGCATATTTTGATAGCAACTGGTTCGTAAAGTCGTTGTCCTCGGCGATCATACGTAATTAAGCAACCCTACAGTAACAAAGTCAGCCTTGTCAATGTTTTAACTAATTAAAAACGACTTAAAACACAAACAAGTAATGCAAGTACTTTTAACCTTATTTCCAGTTGAATAAGAATGTTTGTTTAACAGCACACGGAAAATAATATCATTTCATTGAAGTTTAGATTATAATTTTAATGAGTATATGTAGGAATTTAGTGTATGAGGATTGACTGTATGATTATTTTTTATTTGCTTACTAATTCTATTTCTCGTTTACTATAGTAGTGATTACACCGTTCTTCGCTAGTCATTCAAGTATTTATATATTATAGTTTTTTGTAAAATGGGTAATTCTAATCCTGGGAATAAGGTTACCAAGCATAATCGAAACGAGACCAACTAAATAACATATGCTAAGAGAGTTTTGAATGACATAAAAAGCTTACTTATATTAATTGAAATTTTATACATAACTTGTAAAATATGCTGCTAGTCTATTTGAATATATAAACACACCTTAAAATTTAAATATTGGCGTAAAGTTTTTTGACCTCTGTGCTCAAAACACGATCACTAACGTACTTATTTATGCTAGTATAAAATCTCTATGCGTTTATAATCACGTACATCAACAGTAGGCGCTACCTACTCCAGCCCTGGGCAATGATCTTTTGAGCTTCCTTTATTAAAGTACGTAAATAACAGCACGGTTGGCACAGTAGCTGGGCAACTGGCGGCTTTGGAACACTTTATGTGATCACAAATTATTGTTTCCGGTCAGAGTGGCTTGTGTGTAAACGCACCCATGACACAGGAGAAAACACAAGAGTGAGGCAATTTATTTTTTAATAATAAAATAAAGGATTCTGAAAATATCATTGTACATTCTTGTCTTTGTCCATTTTGCCATAGAAGCATGGCTCTCCCATATATTTTGTTTACGTGCCATTGTGGGCCTTTAATTTTCAGCAATAATCTCAATGTTAGGCAAGGAAGTTAAGGTTCCAGATTATTTGAATTTTTCTGTCTTGCCGTCTCCGGTCCTTATTGTCTCGTGGTCATCTCCTACCGCGCTCGCGGTAAAGTAGACGTGTATATAAAACTGCTAATCAGCTGCCACAGCGTTATAATATGACCTTATTTACTACGCAAAGAAAGTCCTCATGCACTTCTCTCATCGCGAGGTCGACAAGGGGTTGTGCAGGACTCTTACCGGCTAAAACCACCGTGAAGTTCCCTCCTATGACTCTAGCCGTGACCTGGATTAGCCTTGTGGATTCGCCGCACCCGGCCGACCTCAACCTTTCGCCATTTTGTGGCAGCTCCCACCAGTGTGTGCCTATATGACTTCTCATTAAGAAACTATTATGCTTATCATCAATAATATACTATACACTAGATATACGTAATTTTTTTCGAATGCATGGATTTTTAGACAACTGGTTAGAGATAACTGTTTCATATTGGCTTTATTTCACGACAAACTTTGAGATCAATTTTAAATATTTATTTTCAAAATATTTTATTACCACAATTAAATTAAAAGCTTCACCCATAAATACCCGATTCAATCAAGAGGACAAGGCAAGCGAAACTTCTGTATTTTATTAATCTGTTATTTATTTTATACGTAACCGTTAGATTTTAAGTATACATACATATAAATGAGGTAGTTAACATCTTTACCTTTAAAAATATTTAGAAGAACTCGATATATATAGCTTTCTAGAACATAATAGTTACATAATAATGATTCTTGAATATTCTTGGATTGGTGTTGCATTATGTACTTGAGTTAATAATAATAATGCTGACGAAAAAGGTAGCTGTTCTACAGTAGGTACATACGTATTCGTGCATGTCTGAAGGTTTTAACACATCAATCAGATACCACACCCTATGAATAATGCAGTGCCAAGAACATTTTAGTATAACAAAACATTGAAATAACGTCTGAATCCTTGAAAAGTTAGTCTGAGATCATTATTTTGCCACTATTTTCTCCCCTGAAGGGTACGCAGTAGTCAGGGTACTTATTATATGCACCCTATGTAATGCATGTCTACCTAAACCTACTTATATATGCTAGTTGTGTCATACGGATATTCCGGGTATATTGCAAATCTCTATATTTATTCAATTTCTAGAGCTAAGCTAACATTTGTAAGATGATGAATACACACTTAATTGTCAAATCTAAATATAATAAATACTCTTCGTTAAACAGCCGATTTATGTAAAAGAAAAATGTGTAATAATTATTGAATGCAACTAATTTCATCTTATTTTACAGCTCCTACTGGGGTTAATACTGTCGAGTATCATGGCGACGAGTTTCGCCTATATACAGATTGCTAGTAAAAAGCCACTAGGCACTCTGTACAGATGGAAACAGATTGACTACGCATACCCCACACCACAAGCTCGTCAGGCAGCTATCAGCACCGGGTAAATATTATGCCTTGACCAATGTTTTAGTAGGTATAGGTAAATACTTAAGTTACATTAAGTAGGTCTTACAACAGCAGTTTTGTTAATTCTCTATTTCCAAGATATATTATAATCAATTGCTGTTTCATTTGTAAGTGAAGTTAAATCTTTTTTACTTTGTAGTACTTACTTATTATTTTACACAAGCACGGTTAGTCTATACGTTTTGCATGTATTGCACACAATACATTAATAAAGTAACGTAACTTATCCTGCAGACAATTCAATCAACTAAACGTAATACCACTCGGAGTAGAACGTTGGAAGGATCGCGTGTTCATCAGCACTCCCCGATGGAAGTCGGGTACTCCAGCCACGCTCTCATCTGTGCCGATTGGTGCGCAAACCGAATCACCACCCTTGGAACCTTATCCTAATTGGAACTGGCACAATGCAGGTAAACCTCAATTCACGAATCATTTTCAACAAATTCTTAAAAAAAAAGCGTTTTAAACAACATTTTTATTCCTACAGATAACTGCACGGGCTTCACATCGGTATTCCGGATGGCCATAGACCACTGTGGTGTTATGTGGGTCCTTGATTCTGGTCAGGTGGATGCTTTTGAAGCACCACGTCAGCTCTGCCCACCTACATTATATGCCATTAATCTAGCCACTGATACAGTCATTGGACGTTACCCCTTACCGAGCCAATTTGTTCTTCAAAATTCGTTGATCACAAACATCGTGGTAGATTCCAGAGACGTCCGCTGCAGAGACTTACACGTTTATATCGCAGATGCATGGCGCTTCGGCCTGATCGTATTCAGAAATGAAGACACGTCTTTTTGGCGATTCGGTCACTATAGTTTTTACCCTGAGCCACTGCTGTCGAACTATACTTTACATGGACTAAACTATCAATGGTCTGACGGTCTGTTTGGTATGTCTCTCGGTAAGTACCACCAAGGCGACCGGCCGCTATACTACCACTCTATGTCGAGTTCCTTGGAATTCGTGGTAAGTACGTCGGTAATACGCGACCCGACGCGCGTGAGCAACTCCGTGGGCGAGTTCAAGCTGCTCGGCGACAGTCGCGGTGCGAACGGACAGGTCTCAGCCGCAGCCGTCGACCGCAACGGTGTAATGTTCTTTAACCTCATTTCGCTAGACAGTATCGGATGTTGGGACACACGCAAACCTTATACAAACCGGAATCTAGTGGTAGTAGCCCAGAACAATAACACAATGATCTTTCCAAACGACTTACGAATAGATCACGAAGTACCACAAATGGCGTGGATTATTACTAACAGGCTACCAATGTATCAGTTTAATTTGATTAATCCTAATGATTACAATTACCGTGTCATGTATTTAGATCCAGTGGCAGCTGTTCAGAACAGCGTGTGTCAACCAGAAATAAGTTTAAGTGATAATCAAGATATGATGTAGTGGTTATTAGATAAGTTTACATTCGTTTATTTTGTAAATATGAAATTTAAATACAGTATACAAACAAGTTTATGATTGTTTTCTTGTTTTAAGGCTTCTTCCATATTTTATCTGCATCTTTTCAAAACTTACATTTTATGCTTTTTGTGTTATCACAGCTATATATTTCATTTACCAATTATAGACTCTTTACTATTTACTATGAACTTTATTCAATATTTCATTTTTTTTCTTCATTTAACAGATTACATTGTGACGTGTTTTGTTCAGATTCTTTGGGAATAACTTCATTGCCTTTGTCAACAGTGGTAGTGTTACTAGTCGTTGTTTCAGGGTCTAAGTTATCCTCATTCGACATTATACGCAAAGGTACTTCTTTGGCTTTGTTGTACTTGAAGACTTGTTTATCTATAATTTCTTCTATTATCATACCTTGTATAAAATATTCTATTTTCATGCCTTGGTTTAAATTTTCATTTTTATCTATCAAATTATTAATAGTATCATTACTAGAAATTTTAATGCCTGAAGATTCTCTTTCCATTTCTCGATCTATTTCGTTATCATCTCTTAAACTAACAGTCGCAAGTTCTCTCCAATTTAAATTGGATTCTGGCTCGTCTTTGCAAGTTTTTTTGCTACTATTTACGTCTTCATTTGTTGTTTTGACTGATATTTCCATGTCGATACTATTCTCATTTGATACTTTCCGAAACATAAAATTTTCTTCACTATCTAAATTAAAAATTTGAGGATATTCTAAATCTTTGCTGATACTATCAATCAAATCGCCATCCGAGGAAGTGTGTGATGTTTCACTACCAAATAAATGTCTTTCTTTCAATTCATTACCTACAATATTTACCAAAAACTCACCGTTGCATTCTATATTTAATATCTGAGATAGAGTAGACCTGTCATTGATTAATTCATCAAATTCATGGATTATTAAATCATCGGAGATTTCTCTGCTGTTATTATTACTACTATTACTAGTCATAATTTTATTATACACCATATTTTTGTACTCCTCCAAAAATTTTAAATTTGTCTCTCTATTTTGAGTTTCCGTTTGTGTTACAAGCGCTATAGATTTTTCGCTATCTTTACTTGGAATTACTAACTGTGTATTTTTCTCATCGTCGTCAATTTTATTATTTTGATTATTTATTCCATTTGGTCTCTCACTTTGATTAAGATTGTCATTTAATGATTTATTTGTGTTATCTTCAGCTAATACTTCGCTGACTTGCTCAGAATTATCTGTTTTGTTACTTATTTCACTGTTTCTAATTTGGAATGGCATTTTTACTTGCTCTTGTTTATCAAATTTTGATTTTACTTTTGCTGCTTCTATTAATGGCGCATGATTTGATTGTGATACCTGTTCAGTATTAATGTCTGGTGATGTTACTTTCTTCTTGCTTGGTTTTGGTTCAAGCTCCACTGATATTGAAATTGTTTCATGGGATACAGTAGGCGTATTTCGCTTTGTTTTGTGTTTAAATTCGTCAGTTCCACCATAACTGCGAACAGTTTTTAGCGGTGCAATTACAGGTTCTGACTGGAGTTTTTCTGTTGCAGGTTTTTTCATAAATATTTGTGGATAATCTCGCAAATACGAAGCTGTATTTCCTCTACTACTGCCTACATTTTGAGGTGTGTCAGTATCGTCTGAATTTATGGTGCACTCAATATTATCACGATGCCATAATGGAGGTACTACTGAGCTAAATTTCTCGGGATCAATCATAGACTCAGTTCCCTCTTTCTTCATATAAGCACTAACGCGTAACAACATCAAAACGATCTGTTCTAGAATCCTGTCAGTATCTCGAGGTATTATTATTTCACTCCCAAACCAATCTTCGTAGGCTCCGCTGTCGGACCAGCCCGTTGTTGATGGTTTCATGACGTCAGGCTCTGGCACATCTTCTTCCACACTGGTGTCAGTAGAATGTACCATTCTCGAAGATAAATCATGTTGCGGTCTTAAATATGTATCATTTGTAACGCACAACCTTTCTCCGTACCTGTTAATGTACAAGTTATTAATTGCTAAAAACACTAAATTAAAAATATATAATAGTAGAAAAAGTTATTACAAGCTTGCGACTAATTTTTTGCGGAGTTGGTCTTCTCCCAGCAGAGACTTTGTTCGTCTTCTTCGAACGGCCAGCTCCAGCCCGTAGTCATTATCGCTGGGGGGTAGGACGGCGGGAAATGTTTTGAATGCTGTTGCCACTTTAAGTGCATGGTAGTAGCTGAGAAATAAAATAACAGATAATTCATTTTACACACTTTTAATATGTAATATTATTATGAGTTCAGTTCGAGTTAAAATATACTTTTGATCAAAATAATAATCACCTGAATACAAGCATCCACATGTAAAATGCAGGCATGATTGTCGTGAACTTGACAACGACGAACTTTATACAGGGTGTCCTAGCAGGGCCTAGGAGCACGCATGTGCCGAGACCGAGGGCTAGGCTCGTCAACTCGCATAGCAGTTTCCTTATAGCAGCTAAGAGCAACCAGGGTAACACCAGTGTGGGTCTCTCCTCCTGAATCAGACCAATAAAAATATTAAAACAGATAATATTTGTAAACCAAACACCTAGATATGAAGAGGATACTTTCTATGTCTTCTCCATATCTAGATTCAGTATACTTGCATACCTTCTAAATACAATGTAGAGAGAGGATTTGATATTTCACTTTAATCTATAGATGTTGTTGTTTTTTTCACTATTATTTCGGTTGTAATGGTTTAGAGACCGGCTGCTACCAGTCGCTGTTTTGTTTCGCATTATAAATATACCACCATACATATCTACATTTGTGTAAACCATAAATTATTATCAAATCGGCTGAATCGAGCAAATACGAGTCAATACGATCCTTCTGCTAACATTGTACTAGACTCTTGAGGCCTTAAGAGCTAACTGTTATTGCGGTTGTGCTGTTCGTGGAATTGTGTTTTTAATGACACAACTAACAAATTTTTCCGTAACTCCGTGAATGCACTCGAGCCAGATAACGAGCGGTTTGATTCATAACATAATGACAATGTATTTAAAAACTTTATTGTAAAAATACGATTTTCTTCTTACTTATACGTACCGTACTCATAAGTTTAAAACTTCAAACCAAGCTGAATTTTAATCAATAAAGGTAATGTAGCTGAAAGCTTCGTATCTCAAATAGAGCTACTTTATCAAGATAGCGATAGTGCTCGAAATTGCAATAGTAGGAGAGCTCCAGGATGCCAAATTTGCAGTTATTCAAGCGTCGTACTTAATGTTATATACGGGACATTCCCAAGACCCTTCCACTTTTGTAAACCATGGTAAATATGGTAGAGTTTTTAAATATAATTTTCAAGTCGGCAAACAACCTGCCGGGTCACCTGATCGTAAGCAATCAGCGCTGCCCATGGAAGAGCTACGAGTAACTAACCACAATAGGTATATATTATGGTGGGTATATTCAATATTATACATATAATTCCTCATAATATGTTAACCTGCCACGCGCGAGCTGCAAAATTCCTCAGTGGGTACCTCAACTATACGAGTAGTTCATGCTATTGACATAAAATTTTTACGGATTTTTTTTATTTTTTAATCTGCCTATAATTTAATCTTCTAAGTAAGAACATTAAGAGGAAAACAGTAAGTATACATCATCAAACAATTCTTTAAAACCATCTGGCTAGATATTGATTTTTGGAACTAGCAATAATGTGAAAGGTATTTGTAAGAAGCTGGAGAGACCTAATACATGGTTACATATACACACAAATACAGACATACGCACACCATAATACATTATCCCAATTGTCAAATAACTTGTGTTTATAACTTTTACATACCAGGAACACAGGATAGAGTAGCACTATGTATGCAGCTAGATAGACATAGACAGTGAAGCACTGAACCAGCATCACGCCCGACACCATGGTCCGCAGCGCGCGCTGCACCGGCATGGACAGCTCCTCTGGCATGTTCATCTGCCATACCTGGGTACAGAACGAAGACTAAATATGTGTAAAGTGGGGGACAATAGTAAGTTGTCTCATCATCCCTACTTTTCGCCCCGCAATATTGTGCCAAACCCCACTTACAAATTAGAGGTCCACTATCCAATCCAGCAATGGAATTGCCGTCGGAGAAGAAAATGATTATTTTTTTAAAGAAAAAGTTGAGTTTTATCAGTAACTTTAGACCCATTTGTCTCTAGTTATAGACTTTTCATTAGTCCCACTCCCACTTGAAAGTGATGAAATTACAGTTGCGTCGTTATAACTTATTTGAATGACTTTTTAAATTAATAACGCAAAGAGGAAAACACGACTTCCTTCATAAAAATGATTGAATAATAATATCGATAACTAACCAGTAATTTACTGATTCGAGGAAAATTTAACAACTTATTAGTAATCCAATACAACATAAGGCGGTTTATTCATACCTTTCCTCTACAGTGATTTAACTTTAGCAAAAATGAAACAGCATTTGTTTCACATCAATATTGGTTCAGTAATTTCTGAGATATAACAGATGAGCAGATGTAATCGACGTTATTTTTTTTAACTTGGAATGGTGTGGTTGTTTTTGACCCTTACATATTATACGATACTGAATCGTAACCGAACAATAAACAGGAATAAAAATATCACGGATACAGATGACCACTACGTCAAGAGGAGCGCAAAAAGAGAGTTTTAACACCACAACAATCGAAAATTTCTTCATTTTCTACATTTCATAGGACAAAAAATGCAGGCTGTATCATCTAAAACAAGCTAACTGGAGAAAATAAACGTAGTTTGACGCGCATCCTCGCCTTCCCTTATAATGGCGAAAGGTCTAGCGAAATATACAGATGTAACATTAAGCAATTTCCAACCATCTATGCTTGTAACAACAATCAAATAAGATAAAGAATCGTATGTCAAAATAAATTTCAAACCATCTCTAAAGCGACTTGTAACAAATAATCTTTTTGATTGTTATAGTTAGAATAGACGTCGGTTTTTCTATATTAATATTATAAAGAGGTAAAATTTGTAAGTTTGTATGTAGGGCGTATTCTTTGGAACCGCTGGTCGGTTTGCTAAAATTCTTTCACTGATAAATAGCCACAATGTTCCTGACAGGATATGCTATAAAACATCACGCTACGATCAAATGGAGCCGAGCAGCGGGTGAAACTGCGTTAAAGTAGCTAGTCATTCAATAAATTCCTAAGTATCTGAGTAGCAGTATGTACTGCATTAGCATTCTATGCACACCGCTTCAAACATTCACTGTTCAATGTTCATGTACACGAAAACTTCTGATATAGTAAAGATAATTTTACGCTGTGCAACACGTGTCGGCAGTAGGCGGCTGCAAACACCTTAACACAGGGATCGCGAACCATTGGCGCGCGTTCTTTTGATGGCGCGCCGCACCATATTTGAGGCACGTTCCTGATCACAGTATTTTTCCTCACGTTCCTGATCACAGTATTTTTCCTATGTGCTTTATTTTCAGAGATAAATATGATGACTTTGTTACACAGATGACTCTAGTTTATCACACATTCTGTTAGAATTACTACTTTTCAATATATTGTTAAAAAACTATAAAATAGCACATATACGACTTTAAAAACATTTCTTAAGAAAGAAGTGCACGATGATACAAAATTTTGTAATCCCTGCCTTAACATAATTAAATACTACATAATAAGAATATTTATTAAATCAGTCGTCGGTAGCACCTGTTTAAGGTTGGCGTTCACTTTGAAGAGCGTAGCGTCGAAGATCGTTCGAACAAGACCCAGTAAACACCACAAACAAACTTCAGACTGTATATTCATACCAACGTACGAAAGTATATTTATCATTTTGATATGAGAAATTACACCAAATTATGTAAAAGCCGAAAACATTTACTTAGATTATTTATTTATTTATTAACATTTAGTTTATTCGATTATTTCTACATTTAAACTAAGTAATTTATAAATATTGTCAGACAATTTATGTCAGTCGGTTGACATATTATTTGTTTTTTTATTTACTTTTCGTGGCAAAGTTGTATGCTGTTCAGCCAAAACGTAACCTAACTCAAACTGCAAAGAGGTCGAAATAAAGAAGATTGTATATTCAAATTATCGTTCTTACGCCTCTATGAATATGGCATTGTCAGTTTAAAATTAATTAGTATACACGTAGGCGACGATCCTAACTTATTTATCACGATACCATTAAAAAAATACTGAATATCAAACAAGAAGCCTTTTATTAACAACTTTTCTTAAATATGTCTTCTATTGTTTACATAAAACATAATGGTTGTCCAGTTTATTAATAAAAATTATTTAATATTAAAGACGGAAAGCTGATTCAAGTAAACGGGTGCTGCAGTATGATTAGCGCTGTCATCATCAGCGTGCGTCAGCGTCAATCCGTCGGCGTTGTACGAGCCCAGCGGGTACAGTGAATACTGCGAACAGCGGTACAGTCGCGCGCTTCCTTCAGACGAGCTCAGACCATCGAACAGTGACATCGCGTACTGCCGCGCACAAACATCTCTCGACGATCAGTGTTCATTAACATTTCCCAAGTGATTAAAAGTGGTAAACAGTGATAAGCAGTGATTTACTTTATTAGTGCGAACCTCATTGCTAAGGTAAATCTTAGATCATATTTATAAATAACTTTTGTTTTCTTTTTTTTATGTATAAACCGTATAAAATAATACTTTTTTTTCGTAGATTTGATACTTTCGATGTGTGTGGTAAAGGCCTTGATTTTGTTTTAGAATATATTTAGGTTACGCGTCCTTACCTTGAACAGTGTGACTCGCGAGTTATTTTTGAGATTTCAGTCTTTACGTACCACCCACCAATGTTTATGGAGATTTGCGAATACGTCATGATCTATGAAATAATGGAAACAACATGATGCGAGTCCGTAGAGCGTACATACATAAATACTTTTTAATTAAATTGAAACTTCAGACAGACATTACGACCGCTAACTAATTCAATTCATGTTTACAAGGAAATTAAGTGTTTTTATTACTTACTCGCCTCTTTAATTGCGTATATTAAAATAAAGCTAGTTCATATAGGTAGGTAGTCTACCGTAATATATTTAAAATACCAATAAATATCATCATTATAGAAGCCATAGTAGTTGCTATATAAAACGTGGCTACCGTTTGAATAATAAGTAATTAAAACAAAATAAATGTGAATGACTAATGCATAATTAACGTCATCGCTATAAAGTTTATTATATAAAACAAAAGAGACTTATTTATTAATAATTAATTGTACTTCTAATAATACTTGTAAAAGAATTAAACCGGTTGCCTTCGGTACCTATATAATGTCGAGCAGGTACCTATTTCTAAAAATATATTACATATTTAAATTAAAGAGAGCAATTAAGACTACCTACACGGGAATTAAAAAAAAAGGTTAAGGTACGACCAATATCTTTCTAACGGTGTAGTGTTTAGCACTTTTAAGATCTAGGTAAAACACATAAATGGTTAGGTACTTAGATAAAATGTGCTGATATTAAAAAAAAAATACCTGGGAAATAATTATGATGCTGTCACATCGGAATGTTTGCATTAGACAGTGACAGCAACAATATTAATCCATAGATAACATTTATCTAACCATTGAAAAATCAGCCTTAAAAAAAATCTGAACAAGTTTTAGTCAGGAGCACCAGTAAGTTCCCGGGACTTTTAATTTAAAATCATTATTATTTAAACAAAATTTCAGCTTAATCGGAAGATAATTGCTAAAAAAAATTGTTGCAAAATTCCACTTTATAAACTTACTGTAACATAACTACTAAGTACTACTTATATACCACATCATTAAATGATTTCTCTCGTCCTTATGGGCGAGAGAGAGTGTCAGACTCTTACTGACTAAAACGACTCCGTTCCTTCTGCTTCAGGCCGAGCTGCAGTACATTATCGCGCTTGCCCCCACAACCCCTGATGCACATACCTTGAAAGTTACATATGTAAATACTTGTAATCCTATTATCTTTCTAATATTATAAATGAAAGTTTATGAGAATGTATCGATGTAAGTTTGCTATTCTTTCTCAAAAACGGATGGACTGATGGTTGAAATTTAGTATAAAGATAGGTGATATCCTAGATTGACAAATATCTAGGTTACTTTTCATCCAACATGCGGGCGGAAACTAATCAAATTATATAACACAAAGTACCTACAATACGTAAATCTGCATGCCGTATTATAATCAATACTATTCACATATTTAAATTCAAGAATAATACATTAAACCTATACAGTTGTACATGTTTTTAGAACATTTTAGGCAACTAGGACAGTCAAGTTTAGACAGACATTAGCAAACAAGTTTATTGTATCAATCAAGTGTGGTTTTAGCTAAGTAACATAAATATGACATACGGAACTTATTTATGAATGAGACGTGGGATTATGATGTGTGGTATACCCTACACATTAAGCTATAAAAAACCAATTAATCATAGTCTCGCTTCGTATGATCATTCCGCATGTAAAACAGTCAGTTTATACTGGTTCCTCTTGATTTGTAGCCATGTGTAGACAAATAAATGTATCGTCCAACCAATAATTAACTTTAATTATGAATATTTTTATTATGTTGTCGTCATCCAAAACTAGTTTTAAATTAAAATTTTATTAGGTATTATTTTTTCTTTAAAACGTTGGCTTCCACTAAGTTCTAAGTTCTTTTATATCTTGGGTGCGTTATCAAATAGATAATTTCACATATAAATTACAACCAGACCGGGAACAACAATTTGTAGATCACGCAAAGAGTTGTGGGATTCGGATCCGCAACGCGTTGCAAAGCAGTTGGTTCTTTAGCCACCGCGTCAACTGACTGTTTTTTTTTTGTTTGGTTTGAAATATGCTCCTAAGCGGTACATTAAAATTGCACCTGCTTGTAATTTTCCAATTTTCGATATGTCATAATATAACGTCAAAAACTTACGTACGACCTAAAAAAACGTCGTTGTAGCCCGGAGATTAAGGCACTTCTCATGCATGAGGGTTCGTATCGTGGCAAGTATCAATGTGACTCTATCCGAGTTATATGTACTTTCTATGATAATTTAGATACTACTGACATTCAGCACAGGAAAACGTCGTAAGGAAACTTGTACTTATAATTTCTAATTACTTATAAGTTTGAAATCGCCAATCCGCCTTGAGCAAGCATGGTGATTTATGCTCTAACATTCTCCATGTGAGAAGAGGCCTTTGCTCAGCAGTGAGCACTTATAGCCTGATGATAAGCGATACGTCAGGCTAATGCCTTGGCTTTCCTTGTTGGACTACGCTTCGGACACCCCTTGAGTACAGGCTGGGCAGTACCGATACCAATCACTAAAACAGCGTGGAAGTCTATTTCTGATTCAGCAACTATCTCAATCATATTTGCCAAAGTGTAACAAACACATCAGTAGTGAATGTAAGAACAGAATTTGACTATGATGTCATTCATATACACGCTGTAATTTAAACTCACTTAGCTCCCAACATGCAGTACAATTTGTACCAAGGATCTAATTCTATTTTCGCGCATTCATTTCGGTTGTGTTCTATCGTAAAATTGTTTAAATTCGTTTCGAAATAGATCATCGATTAAGGTTTTCTTTCAGACTAAACCAGTTTTGACATCTTAAATGTAAGACAGTGTAATTATTAAATTTATATTAGGTACTTATCTTAATACGAAATATTTGTCTTTATTTAGCATACGAAATAATATGCTGTACAAAAAAATACTAGAATGGGTGTACTAATTTCATCATTAGGTGCATAATACAATATTATTTTTGTTATTATTACCTACAAAGAAAATAAAGATGATAAGAATTAAGTCATGGTGCCTGGTGCATAGAGAGGAAAAAAACATGTTTGTTCCTAAGCATCCGATTAATTCATAGACAAAATTAATTTATACCACGTACCGTAAAGAGTGAATGACCTCTAGACAACCTGGTTGTTTTATCAAATATTTAGCAAGAGTATTATTAATTTACTACCTTAAGTCTGGGGCTTTCTAATAGTAGGTTGTAATGGCGCCAAAATGCCGCGTACACAACGCATTAGATGCGGACTTAACATAGATACAAGTATTTTAAATGCAGTCACATCACGCATATCTAAGCAATCTACATTTAATGGTTTCAATAATCTTAAATCGATCACACCAAAAAGAAAGTCACGACCAAATACCGTTAAGAAGAAAAAAAAATGAAAAAGTTGTGTCGCTAAAACAGTTAGTTAACTAAAGCTAAACAAAAAGTAACTGTTTAATGTTAACGACAGTTAAATATCGCCATAAAACGATAGTTAGCACCACGGTTAGCACGTTACAGTTTTCTGTTACGAAAACCATGACAACGGAAACATGTGTACAGATATAAATGAATCGGAATACTTTCGTGATGGCTCAGCTGCGTCAACGCAGCAGCTACGTCAAAACCTTCGACTCATTTTATTGGTCAAGGTTTCCATAAAAGTATCCGATCCAGAGATATAAAATTTCAGAAAAAAATATCGTTGTTCCAGTATTAAAGTCTACTTACTATAACTTGAAAGTACATAAAGATGAAATAGTGCTGTATGGTTTTTAGTAATGTTCTTGGGAATACTTTAATAAAAGACTTTGAAAAACAGTTGTGTCAATAGTGGCATCCAATAGAAAACGGTACAAGCAGTTGTGTCATTCTTGATATACGTGAGAACATGTCTATGTTCCCGACTCTAGCCATATATGGGACCACTGCATATGGCAGTACTAACATGTCTAGTGAGCTCGCCGAGTAATTTATCCTCGTTTTCCCCGCTTTCTACTTAGCAACTACATGAGAACCAGACGGTAACCCACGCATCTATGTACCCTCTCTGTTATACTACTATTATTCTTACAATTAACACTAATTTCTTGACCAACTTACACCTACAGAAGTAAAACAAAAAGGTTCGAAACCCGAATTCATTGAACCTTCTTCGTCTATTGTTTACCGTCTGACGAATCGTTCTGAATAATTATCATTCATCTGGAACAACGATGCGTTACATTCCAAATGAAAGATACATATGAACTGTAACCTGATTTGGTTATCACATTAGATACAGTTGAAGTCAATGAACGGATTAATTGAAAATTAACGACCATGATTTGCGACTGAGTCAGTCCTTCTATAAAAAAATGCTTTAAGGACTTATTATTATTCATCCCTACGAACATTGCTATCCAGTCGTGGAGTTTGTGGAATCAGGAGTACATAACATAACACTGTTTGTGAGTCATTTCTGTTGCATATTGTATTACACATCGCTTTAATATCGGTGTTTTCGGTGATGTCATCCCCATCGACCAGCACATTTATGTCCATTTAAGATTCTATGTGGCTCGGGAAGACATCAACGGTGTCGTTTGTTTATGTGTGTTCGAACACACCAATTCAAATGTAAGACATGTGAATGACGCCAAGATGACTGATTTGTACGTAGACTAGACGAGGTAAACACCACTAAAGGTGACGTCACTTAAACTTAAGCCTTGACCGAGTAATGAATCTGGTGGATAAATCTGAGGATGGTCTACACCTAACTAATGAAATTGCGT